TCAATTATGAATAAATATACCAACATTTAAAAAACAATTTTTTCGTAAAAAATATTTACACATAAGTACTAAATTTTACATTTAAATATGAGCAAAATTACAACATCTAATTTAAAAACAAGTAAAGTTAAGTAAAAATAATTATTTTAGGAGAAAATATCTTAATAAAAGATGTTTCTAATTGATAATATATGCTATAAAATATAAATGTAATTAAAATCATTTCTCATTCTGTATGTATCAAATCAATAAATATTAAAATTTTTTTTCTTCTATGTGCTTCGTCCCTTCAGGACGTAGGCTCTCCACAATTTCCTATTTTTTGTAGCTCTTAATATGGTTTGTCTTTTCACCATCACTCCCACTTCCCATTCTGCCATCCATTTACACAAGTTTCCCTCTGCCTCTCTTGCTTTCAATATTTCTTGTGAGTGTCAAATTCCCCAAGCCCTCTTTATTCATTACATGACCTAGAAATTAGAAATTTTAACTCTCTTTCTGATCCTAAGTATAAATGTCCTTTTCCTTGAAACTTCCTTGTGACTCACATGTTCTATCTATGGTATTCTAAGTATCCTTCTGCAAATTTCTTAAAAGACTCTGAGAGGTATGGAACAAGAATTTCAAGTGTTTGGCCCAAGAAAATTTTGTTGCTATTGAGCAGGAGGATTTTGATGGGTTGTCTGGCTTCCAGTGTTACTGGCATGATAAGGATATCCCACCAGAGACATTTTCTACACAACACAGTAGAGGAGGTTGCATCATAGTCTGGAGTGCTATCTCCTTCCAAGGAACAATTATAATTATTATCAACAAATTATTTACTTACTTTGATTTATTCAACTGTCAAAGGGATTTGCGAAGGTTGACGATTCACAAGCATCACTAAGTTTCTTTTACTGAGGTTTAAAATGAGATAAATCTTGTATTTTCATAAAAAGTTCAAAATCAGAAACAATTATAGAAAGATAATCATATATCTCCCTAAATTTGTAGAATTTTCTCCTTTCTGTTTTCTTTTCTTTCAGTTTCTTTTTCTACTGTTACTTCCCTTTTTTAGCATCTTTTTTGTAGTCATTGGCCTTGTGAATGCTGAAACCTTTCTGTTTTCTTTCTCTTTTAAGTTCAGTTCTCAATAACTTGTTAATGACTTTTACCTGTGAAATCCAAATCCTTTCTGTCTGTTTATAATCTTTTTTATTACTTAGTAGCATAAAATAATTAAAAATAATAATTAATTAAAAAGTGTGAGTAAATAAATTTTAATAGTCTGAATTTCTATTATGCACTTACTTTTGGGAGAAGTGTATTAAAGGAAAGCTAGACAGTATAGTAAACATTTACATTTTAGGTGTAAAAGGATTTTTTTATTTAGAATTGGCTCTAAAAAAGCCCACCAGAAATGATTGTCATGGTGGATTCATTTTTCAAATTCAGAAAAAAATATATTAATCTCATATTCATTGTCCAATAAAACAGGTGGCTTTTGTAATCATAAATTTAAAGTCAAGGTCTGTTAGCCCAACCTTTTTTGGCCAAGCATCTCTAAAATCCTGATGCCACCCCTGTCACATATAATTCTTATTATTCAAAAAGTGAACTCATATTTAAATGGAGGAAGCCAAAAAGGCCATCAACTTAACTTCCCTTAAGAGCTTGAGACTGCATATATGCAATAATATTATCATTTAATTTTAGAATTTTACAATCTTTATAAAAATATTGTGTTACTAATATAAATATGTATACATAATTACACATGTACATTCATACACACAAATATTTTTATGTATGCATACTGTATATGTACCATATGTATTAACTTGCACACACACACACTCATACTCACTAGAAAAAAATTCTGTTAATAGCTCATTCTTGAATTGTCCCCCATAATCAAATTGTCTCTCTGTGAGGCATGCACCCCATATTGGAAACCACAGTTTTAACCACTCCTGAGGGTATGTAAGAACACAGGTCAGCATCAGAAGGTGGTTAGAAAACACAAGAGACAGAGCCTGCTAACTTTGGAAGACATCAGAAGAGATTGGACATCATCTGCTATGGAAGTCAGTTTGACTTGGTTGTCAGATATGAAGCAGACAAAGCTGGCTGCAAAAAGGTTCTAAGCTTGTTTGTAAGAAAGTTACCAGCAGAGCAAAGTGCAGAAAGGTCTTGACATTCTTAAAATCTATGTCGCCAAAAAAGAACAAATAGCTGACCACAAAAGGGAAACTGTAAAACCAAAGAAATTGTAAAGATCACTAAATTTCCCTTGGATTCTAATTAAAAAAGTATGTAGGATTTTTTGATTATCTATTAGGTGGGTGTACACCTCTTTTTTTCTAAGGGTAATTTCTTCCTTTTTCCAACAGTTTTCATTTCTCCTTCTCAAAGTTTTTTTTCTTTCATGATTTGAATAAAGTTGTATTGTTAAACTTTTTAGGGTCATTTGTTTCTATAATTTTGTAATGTTATCTTGCCTTGTCCTTAATAAGGTGCATAAAAGGAAATTTTTATGCAAGCTTTTTTTGTAAAATTTGTACTCTGTCGTATTGTTTTGTATCAACTTGTAACTTGCAAATTTCATTAAGTAGCTTCAAGTCTTAGTTATCGTATGCGCCTTTTTTAATATGCAGTATAAGAGAGGTGATATTCTCTCTTCCCCCATTCCCTCCAAGACAAAAATTAAATTCTTTTATGTCAGACAAGCCACTTTTCTTAAATAACTACATATTGACTCCAATTTGAATCAGAAATTTGATACTATGGAGTTGTGACATACTTTCTCCATTGGTTAAGAAATCACAAAATGCATTTCTTTAAATCACACATGTTTGTAAACTTTAGGTGAATTTTGGGACCATAAGACTTGAGCCTCCTTGTTTTTGAAAATTTTATACATGTATCTTTTTTTTTATAAACTGTCAGGCTTCATTTTGCCCTCACATATACAACATTTTACACATCAAATTTTAATCATGCCATTTCTTTATTTTAGCAGTTCTTTATTTTAAAAGTATGTGTTAGTAGATTTCTTTTAATAAATGTTTTTTTAAAACACTTCCTTCAAAGAAAGTATAATAAACATATAGTGGAGTAGGGTTTATAGGTTAAAATGAAAAGTTGATTTACTTTTTCCAAGAAGATTAATGAAGGATGATAATGACAAGGAAACACATAAGTAATGTTAACAAAACAAGATAAAGAATTTATTCATGAATTTACATGTTTGAAGTAGCATCAGTAGATCATTTCAGGAAAATAAATCAGAATTCTAAAAGTTCATAGTTTTGATGTATTGTCATGAAGAGGAAATGTTTATACAACAGATTAAATGATCTGACACAATATAATATTAAAAAATGTTTAAGACAAGAGTAAGAGAGTTTGTTGCTCACTGAAGGGTTTGTATATGTTCAAAAGCAGACAAAGAGAGAGAGTTTGAAATACTTAGCTTTCTTGGTTGAGAGAAAATTATTTGAAGTGCTGCATGCTGGTTAGAGTCCGATAATATAATTGACAAGTAATTTTATGCTGACGAGTACTTCAATGCTGGTCATGAGGAACTGAAATGATATCTTTCACATGACTTCAGAGACACTTTTCTGTTTAATTTAATTTTTCTCCTCGTTTTATAGCAAAATGAATTTCACGTAGGCTCGTTACTTTCCTTCCTTCTTCTTCTTGGCTGATCAGCTAATTCCTATGAAGGTAAAGTTTTCATTGGTTCAAAAACAATTTCACATAGGCTAGCAAATTTCTTTCCTTCTTCCTCATTTATCTGAATTTGAAAGGAGTGTGTGAAAGGTGTTATTATTTCACACTCACTACAAACAAACCTAGTCTATTGTATTTTTTCATTGGCCCTTTTAATTATTTTATATAATTTTACCTTTCTTTTTTATTATGGAAATTTTTATAAAGTTTATAAAATTCCAATATAAAGTAAGTTTTAATTAATTCAAATTATATATCGAATACTATATGGTTTGAATTGAACTTCAAACAAACTAAAACAGGATTGTCTTTAATGTAGAGTAGAGAGACCTAAAAACGCCTTCATTTATTTTTTTTTAGTTTTAAAAAGTCAACATAAATTTTATTTAAAAACTCCTATTTTTTTATCATTGTTTTATAAGTAACAAGATTTGTTGAAATTTTTAAATATACTCATTTATTAAATTTTTAAATAAACTCATTTATTAAATGTTTTTTTTTTCTTTCGTGAATTATTAATTGTTGATGATCAAAACTTTTTTATTATTTGATTTTTTAGTCCATCCCACAAAAAGAAGAATAAAATAAAAAATAAGAACTCATGAAATTATAATTGAACTTGGAAATATTTATTTTCGGTTTATATTTCAAAAAGTTACTTTGAATTTAAAAAAAATTCATTTTTACTGCATCAGCTGCCTAAAGAAGTTTCACTTTTTTGGTATTTCCTCGAACTTTTTTTGTTCAAAATTTTTAAACACATTGCGAAATGCATGAATATTAAGAAACAAATGAAAGTGACTTACATTGATTGCTTTTTAAAAGTAAAAAATAAGCGATTAAAATAAACAAATGTCGTTTGAATCAAAGAAAAATGTGTTGTAAAAAAAAAAAAATAAATAAAATAAATTTACATTATAATTTTTATTTTACAAATACTAAATATTGAAAGAGAAAGAAAGAGAGAGAGAATGATGATGAACAGGAATTCCCAGGTTCGAATCCAATATAGTACCATTTACCATTTACAAGTATCTTGTTGCATTTCAAATATTGTCATTTTTTTTAGATTTTATCTTTTTCATAATAAGCCTAGTAAGAGGAAATTATTAATAAGATTGTAAATAAATAAAAGTGTGCTTCAATTTTTCTGCATTGTCATCGTATAACGAGATTTTGTGTTCCTACGCGCGAGAATAAGGTCGGCCATCTTGGACATAAATACTCAGCACTTTGCCGTCAAGAAAGCAGGACGAATACGTACTTACGTCTCAGTAAAAATGGGCGACAAAGGAAGGTAAGTTTATTGATGTAAAAGTAGTAATATTTTGGCAGTTTTAATACTAGACGTCTTTTAAGAATAGAAATACCAGAATCCTTAAATAACTGAAGAAAGTAACTTGGTATTATAAACGCGGAGTGTTATTAAGAACTTGGAATAAAGTCTTTGATAGGCAGCTTGGATAAAAATAATGTACATTCTATTAACACTTCGTTATATAAGGTAAAAAATAAACAATGATATACCAGTAGAGCTTGTTCATCGCGAATTTTTTATCAGTTACTTAAGATTTTATTTAATTTTCGATTATATAATGGGGGTTCATTCTACGACATAAGAGAGACTATAAATAAATCCCCCTTTTTGTGTACTGTAGCTCAGTTTATTTTTATTGAATATAAATCTTGTCAACTTTACATTTGTTGTTGAAATCGCTTAGTTTTTGTTTCTACGAGTAATTAGGATGTTTTATAAAGATCTTAGGTAAAATAAACTTCAAGGAAGAAGAGCCCAAAATAGCTGAGTCAATTGGTGGTCGTCTCAAATAATTGTGCAAAAATGTTTTCATAATACTTCATTATATCCAATTTTAATGATTTTCTTTTTTACCAATAATGAAATGTATATAATTTTAACAAAAAAGTCATATCTCTGATCATCAGCTTGCCCTCAGTATTATTTTTTTTACTTAGTTCAGTTCCGTGATAGAGGATTAATTCATTCATACAATACTTTCTTTATATTTGTTTGGGATTATTACTTTCAGGTTTTAAATTATTATAAGCTAAAAATGGTTTCATGGGGAAAATTAGTTACTCAACCTTTTATTCGTCTTGAAACAAAGGGTAACTCCAACGATATGGTTGCAAATTGTTTTAACCTATTTAAATTTACTTCCTTCACCTTATGAAATAAATTCCTTTATAATAGTTTTGTCCTTGTGTGTTTATTCAAAGTTCTTACAGATAAATTTAAAATATTTATCTATAGATATTTTGAACTGTATAACGACAAATGGGACACTTGATAAATGTTAAAAAATACTTGGATGACGTGTGTCTCTTACTATAGCGGACGTGGTAAGCTATTGGTTCAATAATGAGTTGAGATCATTCTCTTCTCTAAAATGATCTGATCATCATCGTCTGCGGCTTGTCCACCTTACTATATAGTCCATCTGTTAAAAGGTGACGTCACCCTGTCCATCAACGTGGCCATAAACGAGAGAAGTGCCTTACTTTCACTTTAGTTGACTTTTAAATCCTACTTTCTTTGGGGAGACTATTTGGTTTATTTATTTCTTCAACAGCTGTCCACACTCCGTATCTTGTATGGTTTTGTTGTTGCTTTCTTTCCCTACTCCTTTATTTTGTTTAATGTACTTCTCCTCTACCCACTCACCCCTTCTCTCTCTCTCTCTCTCTTATACACACTTATTTTATTTACTTATTTTTTTTATTTAATCAGTCATAATATCTTTATACAAAATGAAAATTTTTTTTGAAGACTAAATATTTGACTAAATTAAATATACAATTTTTTTATTTTTAAGGAAACTTGAAAATAATTTTCTTAATTTGAATGAATAGTCTTTGTTCGTCGCGTAATAGAACATTTCTATATTATGGGTTCATCGTTATGATTTCTCTTCACTTAATCATTCCATTTTCGCTTTTTCTCTTCTTAAAAACCAATACAATGAGAATTAAATACACCGACTAAAACGCAACTTTTCAGTTTGGAAAATTCATCAAATTCTTGAAAATGATAGTTTACTCAAGTGGTAAAGATAAGTAAAAAAAAAAAATGAAAGTTAGTGTATGTTCCAGAAACTTTTTTTTTATGCTAAATAAAAATAAAATAAAAGTTGAAATATTTAATTCACGGCTAGTTAGAAGATAAATTACTTTTTCTATTTCTTTTATTCACTTTTGAGTTTAAACTTTAAAGTATAAAATTATTGTATCGGATGCATAAAAGGTCCAGAATACTAGCGATATGGTTATGACTCATGATTCAGATTCACTATAAGTTTTTATCTGTTAAAGAAATAAATTTAGTGATTTTCTGTAATTATTTAGCCTAGGTCGTAAATGTTAAATCAACGAACATCGCGTCATATTATGAGGCCTCTTTTGTTTTTTGCTTTAACTCCAAACTTCTATCACATAAATGTTTTTAATCATAATTTAATCTCTTAATTTGATTTCATGTATTTACAAGCCAATTTACTGATGTATAGTTTCAGCCGTTTTTTGTTTAATGCCTTTCATTTTTCTTAATGTTCTCAAAGCGTCTGTTTCTTTAACGTACAAATTGATAATCTCCTTAAATCGGATTTTTTTTGTCTCTCTCTTTCAGGGTTTTCAACTTAAATCTAAAAACTCATCAATGTTTTATTTTCTGATTTCTAAGAAATCATTGAAAGGAAGATTAAAAAATCAATACAAAAGCAGTACGCTTTCAAATATTTTCGTGGAAAATTTTTTGAAACGAAGATGACACTAAATTCTGATTTAAAATATTATTTAGAAAAGATTTTTATAAATCATATGACCGCTAGTATGTGGAGAAATGACTATGGTGTAAGTTTTTATTCCGATTTTTACTTCTGAATCTAAAAAAAAAAATACTAGTTGGAGAATCACTGTTTGGATGACACATTGCGTGTGGCAAGTGAAAATAACGTTTTTTTATTTTTGTCTATACTAACTATGATTTTTATTTGGTCAAAGTTCAAAAATATTTCCCAATTGTAACTTGCAATTTTAGTAAATGCATTATAAAACTAAAATTTGTTATAAAATTCAAGAAAACTAAATTTTTTTTTTTTTTTTTTTTAAATTAAAAAATGACTTGTTTCTATGCAATTATTAGAAAATGATCTTCCATTTAAGATCATGATACTACTTCAAATGGCTTAGAATTTTTGCCATGTGTAAATAAAAAAATAAAAAAAAACTATTGAAAAATTTTATGCTCTAAAAAGTCAAAATTAAAATGACCTAAATGATTTTAAAGATGTATTTAATTTAAAAAAAACAAACTAAACTTGTTTACAGTATTTTGTCCCTGTAATTTTAAAATTCTCAAGAGAAACTCTTTATGATTAGTTTCTGATCTTTTGTGATTGGCATGTAATGCAGTGAATAATTTGATTCTCCAATTTTTCCAATTACTGTGTTGTATCTTGCCATTTAATGGGGAGGTATATTCACATTTTGAGTTATAGAAATGCTGATATGTATTTTAGCAAAATTAATGGAGTTAAGTATTGAATGTATCTGAGTAGTATTTTCTAGAATTTAAAAGAATAATTTTGTAACTACTGATGTGTGCTCTCAGAACCAGCAATAAGCTAGTAATAATTTATTTTTAAGATTTTATTCACTTTAAAAAGGTGTGAAATTGTATTGTTACTTTTTCTAATAAAGAGAAGATAATCAGTATTTTTTACTCATTTTAAGCCTTTTGTTTCATGTATTTATTTTTTCTTTGTCTTGCACCATTTTGAATGATTTAAAAATGATTGTTACAAGGTCTGTAAGCTTATAAGATGGATCTATTTTACAAGAACATATTTTAGAAAATATTTTTAGCAGATTTCATCATGTAAGATTGAGCCTTTATATTCAACCTTCCTATCTAATGCTTGTTGAGGAAGGGAAATAATCAATATCAGTCTTAACTGGTGGAAACAATATTATGGTATGCAGCATGAAGTGAATTCATAGAAACTATCTATGGTTGAGATGTTTGAGAAAAATATAAACATGGAGAAGGGAGGGGTAGATGACAAACAGGATGGCAGCTTGATATCAAGAGACAATGAGTAAAAGTTGGAAAGGCGTTTTTTTTTTTTTTTTTTTTTTTTAATGCTAATTCATTATAAAGAGCATGCGTTGAAAAATATTGGACATTCTGTATTTTTTCTGCATAGAAAACTAATCCATTTGTATCCCATTTGAATAAAAAAAAACATGGGCAGACAACAAAAAAATTGGGATACAGGAGAGAATGAAAAGCTGGAGGGAAAGAACTGAATTATAAGATAAAATGGATAATCTTAGTTTTCAACACACATGTAATTTCCGTGGTTCCAGCTAGGTAATTACTATTATTGCCATCACTTATTACTAGTTTTTATTATGTTCTATTTAAGCAATTATTCAGGTTTTCTTTGACAGTGATTGTGCAAATTATGATTCTGACAATAATTCTTCAGGCCATAATTACTATTTTCGCATTTTTGTCATTTTATTCAATTTTGATGCTTCAGTTGGTTTTATGTTGGTATTAATCAGACCTGTAATTTCATTGTATTTGTATAAACTAGTTTTAAATTTTGACAAACTGAAATAGAACAAATTTTAAAATATTCTTTGTCTTGTTTTTAGAATATGTAATTCTGAAATTGCTTTATTACACAAAACTGTTTTTGAAAATGCATATTTTCATTTTCTTTTTTTCTTCAGTGATTATCTGGCAACAGCAATTTTAAGAGATAAAGAACGTCCAAATCGGCTCATAGTTGAAGAAGCTGCCAATGAAGACAACTCTGTTGTCTGCCTATCTCAGGTGAATAGCTTCCTTAAATATTTTTTACTATTTCTCATAAAAATAAAAAAAAAAATAAAATTAATTTTTAAATTTGAGTCTAACTTTGAGAAATTAAAAAAAATCACTTTGGATTTAATTTTAATTATTTGCTTGAAATATTAGCAAAACAAATTATTACTTTTGATGATTTTAGAAAATGAAATGCAGTTATAATCTTGGCTAAAACTATTGGGTTTGATTTGTTCCCAAATTTAATATTTCTATATTACCAAAGAAAATATGGTAAGTTTAACTTTCATGTTACTAATTTTTTAATAGAATAAGAGATTTATATTAATTTCCAAAATGTTTGTATAAAATTATCAGAAGTCTGTTAAGTAAATTCTTTATAGATTTTTCAAATTTTATTGCTGTTATGGTTTTATAATTTTTAAGGAGGCTTGGTGGGGTTAATGGAGAGATTCGATTAAGGAATCGAAGAACTGAATTTGAATTTCACTTGAGTCCATTACATTCACTTACATGCTAATATCCTTGGGAAACGTATGAATTCGTCTCTTCAACACCCCCACTCCCTCCCCAAGTAAGATGCAGGACAGACTGTTTCTATAGCCTTGGATAGCAACTGGTCTTTTAGAAGAGCAACACTAGATTCAAAACCCAAGGACCTAGTGTATGAACCAATCATATGTAGTCCTCAGTTGTTGGTCAAGGGCTTGGAGAGGTGATGGTTGCCACCAAGCCATCTGAAAGGATCATGAGGAAGATGAATTAAAATCTGTTTCTTCTGCCCTTTGGGCCTCCTGAGAATTGAAGTAGTCAAGGAGCTGATGAATTTTTTTTTTTTTTTTTTTTTTTTTTTTTAAATTAATCTTTATTTATATTGGTAGAAATGAGATTTGAATTAGTTGGGAATAAAGAACTTTTTATGGTGATATGTCATAATTAAATCATTTCTTCTGAAAAATTGCACAAACTTAAGAAAAATCTACTTCACAAGAATACTTTATTAGGAGTATTCAAATTGCTCTTGTATTACAGAAGTATCCTTTCTACCAGCATTTGATGGATTGTTTTCAGCTGGTGTTGTATTTTCTTCACTTTTTTAAATGAATGTTGTATTTAAACTTTTTAGTCCTTTGAATCAATTTTAAATTCATTGCATTGACTAAAAAGTAGTGAATCCTTTAAATGAAACAGTTATAGTAATTTCAAGAGGATTTGTTTTTCTTTGTGTTGTGAACAAAACAAGAGCATTAATTAGCATGAAGATTGAACACTTCCAAGTGTCAAAAAACTGACATGACAACACATTTTATCTATCTGAAGGCAATTGTACTATAGAACATTCTAATGAGAATTTAGTACATTGTCTAGCTATTTAGAACCTAGTTACATAGAAAAATAAATTAATGTTGCTTTTAAATGCCAAGATTTACTTAGGGGATTTATTTTCTTTACATTATGCTTTTATATCTTAACTGCATCTGCTTTACAGATAAAGTTGTGTATATTTTAAGACTTTATATATTTGAAACATTTTCCTAAAAAAATCAAAACTTGTTTTTCTTTGTTTGTCCCCACCCCATAGTTTAAGATTAGCAAAATCATTGACAAGTTATTTTAATTGCATATAAGTAAGGGCTTGAAATTAACACTGACCCATTGTCTCTGGAACAATAGAACATTGGTTTGAGATGACTGGTCAAGTTTTGGGGACTATGCCAGACGATAGTGTTTTTTAAAAACAAAAACATAAGTGATTTTTTTTTTTTTTTTTTTTTTTTTTTGTAAAGGTTAAAGGATTTAAATTTAGATATTTGTATTAATCACTAAATGTGAGAAAGTTTGTACTAATTTTGTACTCAATACAAGGCCCAAAAGCCACTGAAGGTAGAGGGTTACTGAATGAGTTGGTAAGAAATTGAGCTTATGATATGTAGAAAAAAATAACTTACCCCTGGACTTGAATAGGTTAAGATTGTAGCAATTGAGGGAACCACTCTCTCTCTGTTCTACAAAGTAGCAGTTCTTGGGAACAAACTCCTGAATGGATGCTTCACCAATTACCTTAACCTCTTCAAGTTTAGCATTTAGTTGTAAGAACTAATTTTGCTTTAATAAGAAAAGTGATAATTGTTTTTTTGTCAAATTTCTGGTTAGAAAACTTGAACAAATCATTAACAAACATTTGTTGTCTGCTTATCATAAACTAATCTGAAAATATAAGGGAGAATTTAGTCATTGGGGAAAGATAATTTTAAATGAAAGATTTTGGATAAAGACTTTGAAACCTTTTTTGATTCTAAATAGTTGGAATGCACTAATATCTTTTCTATAGAAAATAAATGTCTATCTATATTTCTGAGATTGCATTGTAATTATTTACATTGTTCAGACTGTTGTTCTTATCTTTATTGTAATAAAGATGAGGACAACAGTTTGAATAATGTACATAGAAAATAAATGCATAGAGCACAATACTTAAAGTATGATAAAAATTACCATAAACATGAAAATTAATATTTTGGTCTAGAATTATTCAAGGTGATTTAATTTTTAAACAAAATTAAAGTGTTTTGTATAAAAAAAATAGTAAAATTTAACTAATTCATTTTTATGACTTAAATATTTTATTTTTTTAAAAATTTTGTGTTCAGTCAGGTTCATTACATTCACTTCTGTACAAATACCCTTGGAAGGTATAAATCCCTATGGATTAAATAAGTAGGACTTGTATTTGGAAAAAAAATCATTATTCTCCCAAAAAATTGTTAATGCAATCAATCAAATCAAAATGTATCATTTGCATAAAAAACAACTGATTAAAAATTGAATGGGTCAGATTAAATATGTAACTCTTAAACATTTTAATGATATTTTATTATATTACTAACAACTGTTAAATGACAGTTACAAAAAAATGGTATGACTAAAGTTGTTTTCCATCATGTCTCCATTAATAGCTTTTATTTGTGAAAAATACCTTTCTAAATATTTATATTTAGTGACTGAATCTACACATTTTTGAATGGCAAAAGTGTTGTTGGATTTTGCTACAAAACAAGCTGAGTATGTTCAATCTGGTCAAATCATTTATCTCTGTACAAACTTCAGTAGATGTTTGGAAAACAAAACAAAAAAAACTACTCTATTGAAAACCTGTGCATGATTTTATGAGGTATCATAGTTTTGGCTTAAAAAAAAGTTTAGTGCCTTGATAACAGTATTAAATATGTAATAGGTTAAAACATGTACTTGCAAAGAGACATAGTTCAAATTTGTTTGAGTGTTTACATACATATATTAAACTATAGTTGACATTACACATTTCTTTTACTTGTATTTTAGTTTTGTAATCTACTATGATAAATTACTAGCTGTACCTGTGGAAATTCCACAGATTTTATAACACTGATTATTTTTATATTATGAATGTAAGTACTGTTTACTCTCCATTTAAAAATTGACATCAGAAGTGAATTACTTATGCATGCCTTGCAATTTTAATTACTAGTAAAAATATTTTTGACATGGAGTTCTTAAATATCAGGTGGGGGGGAGGAATGATATATTTACAGAATTTCTAAATATTCATTGAAAATACACTTTTATACTATACAGATAAGTGTTCTAATAAAGTCTGCAGGAATTGTTACTAAAATTCAATTAGTTGTAAACATGCATATGCATATAAATTACTTTTTCAATAATATAGTTTAGTCAAATTCAGGGTAAATGTTTGCAACTACAACAGTGCATCTTCATTTGTGTTTTTTTGTGCAAAGATAAATGTCACATCGTTGTTTCAGAATGCAAAGGCAAATTTATCATACTGTCAATTTTCAGACTGAAACAACAAAGGCAATATGGCACTCACTAGTAAATTAAATTTGAATAAATGAAACCAGATTTTCAAACAAATCAATTATAAATTAAATAATAAATTCAAATATGTCAAGTTAAAAAAAAAATCAATTATAGTTAAATATTGAATCAAGTAAAAGCTTAAAAAATAATTATTTATAAAAAAAAATTTTAATGACAATTTCAGTTTTCGTCAGAAATAGAAGTATTATGGTTTAATTAAACTTAAAATAAGGAGCAAGATAAATTGCTCAGCAAGGGTCACAGACATTTAGATAGGATATTAGGTATATTTCAAACCTAGATTTATACAGTGGGTTGCCTATTAAATATATTGCATGACTTGGGCTTCCAAAATACCCTTTAAGGTCTGACTTTGTGAATAAAAACTCAAAAAAGGCTTTTTTTTTTTTTTTTTTCCTACAATATTTTTGAAAAAGTAAGCAAAATAAATACTATACCAGGGTTGTCCAACCTTTTTTCCTAATAGGCCAAATTAGAAATTTAGGTATATTCACCTAGCCACAAAAGTACTTTATATAAATATGCTTTTAAAAGTTTGAAATGTCATGAATATCAAAATTTAATATATATATATATATATACCACAGCTGTTTGAGGTTTCCTATAGCCCCACTGAACTTAAATAAAGTCAATTCAGGATTCCTATGGTGAAAATCATCACAAAAATGGCAAGTCATTTTGTCACAGCTTATTTTCTCTCAAAAAATGGATTTTCATAATTTTATAGGGGTAAAATATTGAAAAATGACTGTTTTATCATCATCTAAACTAATATCAAGGAAACTTTTGATCTGAACCCCATGAAACTAGGTATTTTCTGAAAGCAAAGGATATATTCTTTCATTTAAAAGTAAAATTAGCTGGTGTAAATGACTCAAAAATTTTTTTTAGTGGGTAAAATGTGAAAAAAATAGTGAAAATTCTAAACAAATATTTCCCCCATTAATAGGAAATTAACCATTTTTTTTTTTTTTTTTTTTTTTTGAAAATCAGAAAGCCTAAATCATAATCAAACTATTTCAGGCATAAAATTGAGTTTTGAAGGAAATCAACATTTCTAGGTGAACAAAATATGACAAAATCCATTGTTAATTTTCAATTATATGACTGCCAAGGGTTAAAAAAAAATTGACACCCAGCCACGGAAATTTTTAGTAAAAGGCAAGAGATTTATCTGCAATTCCTAACCACCAGAAACCAAACGTTTTTTTTTTTTTTTCCAAAAAATAGCGATAAGGAAAATTAAACCTAATTGACTTTGACGTCTAGGTCAAAGGTCGGTCAGCCAGCCAGCAATAAACGGCATACCTTAGAACAAGTTTTAATAAAACCCACCACTCCCAGATAAAAGCAAAGAGTGAAAAAAAAAAAGGGTTCACAATGACTAGGGCTTGATATAACCTATGTTTGAACAATGGCTTGATGAGTTTTGTTTTGTTTTTAACACCCCGTGACCTGGGTGATGACAACAACACTTAGCAGACGACATTGTTTTTTTTTTCGCTGCATATCTTTCGTATTTCCCATCGCTGGCCCATTTAGCCATTCTTTTTATTCAATTTTATTCGTTTTCATGCCAAATGAAAGAGAAAGGAATGAATTTTGAAGGATATTATTTTGAAGCGAAAATAAATATTTTTTCATTAAAAAAAAAAAAAAAGCGGATTTTTCTCAGAAAATTGGGCATAATTTCCTAATGCTAACCGCCAAGTGACATTTTCCACAGCCAAATTGAAGATTAATTACCAGTGAATAATTCCATGTGCAAACAATAGCCGTCTGGATCCTATAAAGTCGCCCTAAAAGGTCCAGAAGTTTACTAATTGATCGAAAACCTGTTGCGCATAATTGTATTTTTCACGGTCATTTTCCATTATTTCATCTTGATATTATCATTTTCGGACAGCCAAGTCATCAAGGATTCAGGAAAACACTTTGGCATAGGTTTTCTTTAAGAACTTGACATTTTATGAGGTATTTAAAATGTTACTGAGAAATGAGATTTTTTTGCCGAATATTTCGTTTACGCGCCCTGTTGGATTTTCCTATATGACAAAAACAAGGGTTTTAAACAGCCGTGATACACACACACGCACACACACATAATTAAAAAAATACACAAAATAAATTCAATGTGATTTTTGACATTGCTTTTCTTTTATAATATATTGTCATTATCTGCTTTTATGGTACTAATCTTTATTTGAAGAATGTTAGTTAAATGGGAATCATTCAGCCTATTTCTTTCAGCAGTTTTGATTTTTTTCATTATGATATGCATAACATTTTCCTAGATAACTTGTATTTAGCTCTGGCTCTTTCCTCATGTATCAGCTGCTGTGTCTCAGCAAAGTCCTTTACGTCCTTCCCCCTTTTAGTACAATGGGGAAGTGACCCTACTAGCACAATTTGAGAATTTCTTGGCATGTTACTAAAGTAAATGAAAATATACCTGAAGATTTTAGGGTGCAGTTGGCTGCAGTGTGGTTGTGGGTTGGGCATCCCTGTCCTATAGAAAAGGTAGGCAGAGGTAGGTTTTTAAAGTTTTTATTCACAAAGAAAGAAAAAAAACAAAGATCTGGTTAATTTGTGCCTGTAAAAGGCATAAAATCGATGAATGGCCTATATCTTGCGGGTACTTCAGGGATTTACAGTTCTGCTCTGTTTGTAATGGAAATTTATAGTAAATCAAACTCCAGGGAAGCAGCCAACTTCTAAAATCAGTTTCTAACACTGCTATGATATTCAATATTTCATAGTTAGGTATTCCTAGTATCCCATAAGAACTTCTTTCACTTGTTCTTTTCCTTTCGTTGGGATGTGTGGGTAAAATGAAATAGACATCAATGTTACCTTACCAGAAACTTGGTGTTTTTTTTTTTTTTTTTTTTTTTTTGAAAAAAAACTTTTCTGTTATAATTCTCAAAAAAATTAGTTTCATAATTGAACTGTGATTAAGTTTTGGTTTTGGATTTATTAATTTAATTTAAAAGGCTGTCAGTTTAAGTGGTTCAGAATGATTGTTTTTGGGATGATGGTAAAATAGACACCAAAAATTTAGTCTTGCAGTTTAATGACAATTTAAGAAATTTTAGTTCAGACTTATGGAATTTCCCAGGGACCTACCCAAATTGCCACCTGTAGGTACTGGGGACAAACTACATTAAAAACTCAACATCACTGAGTTTTTTAAATTTTGTACCAAAAATGTACACAATGTAGATCGTATTATAGGTCTTGCCACAGATTTTCTAGAAAAAAAAACAAAAACTTAAATCTTCTTTTTAAATAACTTGTACCTTCTCTGAACTTAAATTTTGGTTCTATTTAAATGATAATATCCTAGAGCTAATCTAAATTAAAAGAAGTTTAATTTCTCTATATAAATGAATGTTTTTGGCATTTTTAAAATATTGGTACATTTTTTTTACTTTTGTCACTCATCAAACTGACGTTGTATCCGAAAAATGTAAACAACAAATTAAAATTCTCTATAAAAATCCAATATTTGTCCTAGACATGTTTTGAAGTATATTAGTAAGTTTAAGATGTAATTTACTGGATCTTTTTAAAAGTAATGCTTATCTTTTACTTAAAATGGAATGAAGATTTTACTTGCATATGATAGCATATGAGGTCAAAGAACAAAATAGAAATACTGTAATTCTACCCCCTCCCCGACCTGCCTGAAAAATTGTACGATAAGGTAAAAATAAAACTTCGATATATGAAAGACTAGCAGTGCAATAATCAAGAATTTATTTGTTTAAAAATGTTTTCTTTAACCAATAGTTTAATATAATTTTTTTTATTCTGTAGGTTTTTTTAAACTTGGCATAATGAAAAAATTTGAGGGCATTAAGGCATTACCAAAATAAAATTATAGCATAAATGTAATTGTTACATTTAATAATGTGAAAAGAAAAGCATTTCTTCTAATTAAATTTTAGAAAAATTACAATTTTATGTGAATGAACTAGTTTTGTTGTAATTATAAACATTTTCTGTCTGGCAAGGGGAAACATATGGCCATGGCGTGGGGAACAAGACAAATTTGTTAAAAGAGTAAAGATTTAAAATCACAACTTGTTTAATTACTGAAATATTAGTTATTCTTGTGTACAAGAATCTGTAAATAAACACAGGAAAACAGACAAGCAAAAAAAAAAAAACACCTGTACTGATGAATCTGAAATTAACTGAATGTGAGATACCAGAATGAATAATATGTCAATTATTTTCAATAATTTTAATTATTTTACAATTATTTTTAATGTGCTTGTATCTTTTTTGTTATCTGTAAGTTTAATTTTTTTATTTATTCTCTTTGTGTAATATTTTAGTTTTATTTAAAATTGGTATTAGTCTAGTTTGTAAGAATACAAATTTTCAGTCAGTTTGTAAATTATTTTGGTAATTCAAACAAACTAAGTTTGTTTGAATTTCCTCAAAGGTATAACATTATATAATTCTTCCTTTTATAGGCAAAAATGGATGAGCTGCAACTTTTCCGCGGTGACACTGTTCTCTTAAAGGGTAAACGACGAAGGGAAACAGTTGTTATTGTGCTCTCTGATGATACTGTGTCTGATGAGAAAATCCGAATCAATAGATGTGTTCGTAACAATCTGAGAGTTCGTCTTGGGGATGTAGTTAGGTAAGTTGTTTTCAATAGCAGTAGTAGAATTTTGATATTTCTTTTTTTTTTTTTTTTTGTTTATTTATATATATATATATATATATATATATATATATATATAAATAAAAATTGTTTCATTTGATTTTAGCATTCAGTCCTGTCAAGATGTGAAGTATGGCAAAAGAATTCATGTCCTCCCCATTGATGACACCGTGGAAGGCCTTACTGGGTAAGCGTATTGCTTTTTTTTTTTTTTTTTTTTTTTTTTTAAATACTTCCTCATGCTCAGTAGTTGTATTTCAGTTTTGCTATATCATTGAAGAGAAAGAAAATCTTTGAAAGAAAAAAAATTATGAATTCAATGTTATCTGAAATAGCTGTTGTATAAAATGTTTGATATTAGAATGTAGTTACCTTGTTTCAGTTATTTCACTCTCTGGAATTATTTGAACTGTTTTTAATTTTTCTTTCATTCATTAATCTTACTCCTGTACAACAAGCAAATATCGAAATATTTAGTAATTGTGAAAATATAAAAATAAGTTGAAATAAGTCAGTAATTTGAAGGCATATGCTTACTTGTATATAACAACCATAAAATCGTAGGTAAATAACATGCCTTAAATATATAGTTAAAAATATCTTGACAATTTTACACTTAACAGAAGTTGGGGAATTTGTGATAATTTTCTTTAGGGATTATAAGCAAAAAGAATTTGTGCATTGTATATATTTCAGCCAACTCTAATTTTAAATATTCTTTAAACAAATCAATGTATATTAGGGATATAAACACTGAGTTTAGTGATTTTATATTTCCTGTAATGTGTGTACACTATAGGGAACAATTATGTAGTGATATTTAAAGGAAACTTTGATCACTCAAGTTATTTTAATTGTGCAGACAAGTTTTTTAATTTAAGAAATTGACATAAGCATTCAATATCTTGAGTATAAAATTGTTCATGTTTTCATAACCTTTTCACTTTTTGTTCATGTGTAAGTTTGAATAATTTTCAATAATATTCAAGCAGTTTTAAAGATTAGAATTAATGCATAATTTTACATTTCATAATTTTTACTATTTTTCAGGCTTAAGTTGCTCAATTTTTTTTTTTTTTTTTTTTTTTTAATTGGCCAATGTTTGTGTTCATTGTATGGTGCAGTTTGAATTGCAGTTGTACAATTCTTTTGAAATCTTAATTTCTGCAATTACTTAATCCCCATGAATAATGAAGAGCTACAAGTGACAAATAGCAAAACATTTTGAATAAAACAATGGTTTCCCCTTTTTGTAATTAAAAATATTTTAAAACTTTAGATGTCATTTATTTAACCCAGTTAACTGACCAAAAAGTGATGGCTAGGTTTTAAAAAAATGTTAAAGCTAAACTTGCCTGAATTTATTGAAACAGAAATTTTGCTGGAAATTTAATGTTTAAAAAAATAATTTGTATATTAATTAAACAGATTAGGAAATAGAATGTAGATTTTTTTTTTTTTTTTTTTTTTTTTTTTTTTCTCAAGAATATTTGGATGGGTGACATAGCTGATCATGTTTGTAAACCTTAAAAGCAAGATACTTGTTGCATGTTGAGTTATTTGAAACCATTCTTGCCATTTCAAAAAATGGCAGTATAACACGCCTAATTCTTTTGGCTTTAGATTTTATGCTCCATAATCCTTGTCCCCTTAAATTGGTCATGCAGGGGTAAGTAGATTCAGTGTTATTTGAACATTAGTTATTTCAATAAATGTAAAATTGCATTTTATTTATAATGGAAACTGTCCAGAATATGTATAAAGTACTGTTTCAAGTAGGATCTTTTTGTGCTTGAAAGAGGCTAATTTTATAAGGTGGATTTATTTCGCAAACCTATGTTCATGGGTCTGTACACTAATTGGAATTCTTTTATTCCTAAAGCCTTGTAAAATTAACCTGATCTCTATCTTAGTCCATTGTGCATTGATGATTTGTTCTTCATGTAGCCTTTACCAGGAACTTGAGAAAATTCATTGTATTTTTATTGACAATAGTTTTCTAACTAGTGTCATCAAATGTGTTATTGAACACAAGATCAAACATTTCAATGAACTGGTAGTTTTTGGTCCCTCTGTCTCATTTATTTGAAACTACCATGGTTAGGTAGGAAGAATCAAATACTTGCTGACAGCATGTTAGTGTGTATTATATCTGGTTTTTTGACTGTCAGTTTGCGTATTGTTTTTTGAGACCTGCACTGATTTTCCCTTTTTTGTCAAAGACCATCTGTTCCACTTTCAAAATAGACACTGGTAATAAACAAACCATCTTTATGTTCAAAAACATCCAAAAAAGGCAAAGTACAATCATTCTCCATTTCCATAGTGATTTACAAGGATGGATGAAGGGAATTGAGTTGGATGTGAAAAGCCATAGCATCATTGATAGAATCAAAAATGGAGAACATGTCATCAACGTAATGTAAATATACATGGTGCTTGACATTTTTCAAACAAAAAGCTCTCGTAGAAACCAACAAAAATGTTGGCGAATACTGAACCCAGGGGACTCCCCATCAAGACTCTGATTTGGGCACACATGATATTGTCAAAAGTAAACTCGACCCCCTCTGTTGCTAAATGCCAGAACTCCAAAAACAGAGCTTCTGGAATTAAAGCTGGACCCCGGTGACCCCTATAGAGAGCATCAAAACAAATTTTCATGGTGTCTTGACCTCTTACATCTGGCTAACTCCCCAGGCTGTAACCCCTTGATTATTATGTGTGGGGTGCAGTGGAATGAGACACCAACAAAAATTCTTGTAACACTGAAGATGAACTGAAGGCAATGATTATGGCAGCATTTACCAACTTAAACAAGGACACTGCCCAGAAGAGTTGTAGGAGATTCCAGAGTCGTCTGGAGGTCGTGGTTGAAGCCAATGGCGATTTTATTGTATAAATGTATTTAGAATTTCAAGATATTTGTAATTTTGGTAAATATCTGTTAAAATGAAATCAGTGTTATTTTCATTTTTTCGTAATTTAGACAATTTATCCATCGCACTCTGTATAATAATTTTTCTCATATCCAACGTTTTTTATTTTTTATTTCCTATCAGAAGCAAATATTACGTTGCCTCTGTGATTTTCTTAAAGGGAAGGAACCTTGAGTAACTTAAAGGGAGATAATTTTACACGTTAATTAGAAATTGACTGATACTTCAAAATAACATGGAAATGTTTACTAATTGGTAATAATTATTTTATTCTTGTATATACGCATTTCATTTTTCCTTTACCCATAATACTTTACAAGCATTAATTTTTTTTTTTTTTTTTTTTGTTTATAGAAACCTCTTTGAAGTTTATCTTAAACCATACTTTTTGGAAGCTTATCGACCTGTTAGAAAAGGAGATATCTTTTTGGTTCGAGGCAGTATGCGTGCTGTGGAATTCAAAGTGATAGCTACTGATCCAAGCCCTTACTGTATTGTGGCCCCAGCCACTGTTATTCACTGTGAAGGTGAACCAGTCAAAAGAGAGGTAAGTTATTCCATGAAATATTTTGAAATCTACATGCTTGATTGAGCCTAAAATATTTCTATATTCTGTAATCAAGATAAATGATTGTTGAATATTATTTTCAGGATGAGGAAGAAGCCTTGAATGAGGTGGGCTATGATGACATTGGTGGATGCAGGAAACAACTGGCTGCCATCAAGGAAATGGTTGAATTGCCTTTACGTCATCCACAACTCTTTAAGGCAATTGGTGTCAAGGTAAATTGATTACAGAGGAATCATTTATTACTGAATCTATTTCCTTATGATAAAAGATCTTATCAAAAGAATGTTTATATTTATAAAGTAACTTTATTGCTGCAAGGCATATTTTGCAGAATAACTGGCATATAGTGTCTCCTAATACTGTCATTTGTTTACTTATTAGTAACTATATTGAACAAATGACTATATGGTTGGAGAATTATTTTGTATATTATACATCTTTCCATACCTTATTTTCTTGAGTGCATCTATACTATATAATTTAATGTTAGCATAAATAAAATTAGATATTACTTTTTTTTTTTTTTTTTTTTTTTTTTTTTAAACCTGAATCGAGCTTCTCTCAGAAAAGGGCATAACTAAGAATTGTGTATTTTCTGTTTCACATAGGTGTAGAAGGGATTATAAAGGTTAAACAAGTTCCTGCAAAAATAAAGCTGGAGGAACTTTGGAAATCCATAATCTGGGAAAAGATGAAATTGGGCATAGACAGTCATGTGGTGATAAGGAAGATCAGAATAATAGCAAACACTGGTAGATAAAGCAACTTAAAAAATCCGCGTACCTGTTTGTCACTAATAGCCACATTAGGCTTAGCATAGAAATGATTGGAAGCATTTGGTCTAAAACTGGAAAATTACACTACAAGTCATGTAAAATTCAGATATGCTAATTCAGGGGCAGACAACATCAAAAAAAAAAATATGTGATACCTAAGGTTTAAAATGAATCTTTAAAAATGGAATCTTGAAACTTTTATTTCAGCTTTAATTTCAAGTTAATAGATTGAATTTAATATTTTCAGTAAGGAAAATACTCTGTATTTCAAAAACTAATTTAAATTGACTGGAAGGTTTTTTTTTTTTTTTTTTTTTTTTTTTTCACTTGAATAATTTGATTATCGCCCCTTTTTTACTAGCTTTCATCGCAATGAATTTATTTAAAAAATCTTCAAAAAATAGAATATACTTTCTAAAACTTGAGGAATATTTAGCAGATTTAAAGTATTAGTAATCTTATTTGAAACAACTAATATTTACTTTAAGAATTTTTTAACTCTGCAGTAACTGTTTAAGACGTTTATGGCTTTGGTGGCTTGTTTGACAGATTGATGTTTATCTATGGGGGCTTTATGCATTAAAAAAGTAATTAATTTATATATAATTTAAGTACTTAGTAATCTTAAACATTTAAAATTTTCTCTGTAATCTGTTTTATTGAATTTGAAACATTTTTGGCTGTAAATTAGGTACTTCAACTTTTTGCCGATGAAAAGCTTAGCATGATGGAAAAAAAAGACCCCAAACTTAATGACAAACCTTTTGTAGTAAAAATGTTTATTATTAAGAGGAAAGAACAAAGTATTTTTTAATTAGAATTTTCCTCCTTTCTAACAGGTTTGAAATTTGGGTCAAAAGTCTTTTTTTTTTTTTTTTTTTTTTTTTTGGTCAATTGTGTAAGGCTTGTGGTAACATTTTTGTGTAGCTGTTTCTGGTAAAATGACACATTAAGTTAGAAATTCTTGCAAAAATCAAATAATTGTCTGATTGTAATGAAACTATCAGGACTTGTTAAAAAAAAAATGAATTTGTTTTTGAAATTTTTATTTTCAGAAAACTGTTACTCACCTACCCCCAAAATTAATTTCATGAAATTTTCTAGAATTTCAAATCGTTAACAAATCATTTTATTTCTTAAAAGCATCCTGCTTTTAAGAAATAAAATGACAATGTAAATCATCAAATTTTTTTTTTTTTTTTCTATCACCAACTTTTTGAATATCTGCTCCAAATCATAAAATAAGAACTGCAATAAAAATATTAACTGTTAGATAGGATTTTATTTGCTTTTATAAATAATATATATTAAGGACATTATTGTCTGAAGAAAAAAAAATTTCAATGAATTTTTATAAGAACTCATGCATTTTTCTTTTTTTTAATTATAAAGTTTCAGAAATGTTTTAAAATTCTTGCAAACTTCATCAGAGGTAGGTTATTAATTGAAAACTATATTTACTAAGCAAAAATTTTAAAAGTTTAATACAGATCACCCCACTAAAACTTTTTACAATAATTAAAAAAAAAATTTTTTTAATAGTTTGATGTTTCATAAGTGACATTATGGTTAAAAGGTCATGTTTCAAGGCTTTTCCCTCTTAAGGAAAACTCCAAGGCATAAACATTTATGGCTGTGGCCAATTCTTTCATTTCACTTGCATGTTTCATTATCTTTACATTTCAACAGGTTGCTTTTGAAATCACCCCTTCAAGATTTAAGAACTAAGTTTTATTATCCTATTTCACTAAATATTTTTAATTTTGCTATGTATCATGCATCAAGTAATTTGTTTTATTTATTAGTTAAGAAAATAATTTATTTTTTATTTTTTTAAGTTTCTTTTTGTGAGTTAAATAACTTTAGCAATTCATAACCATCAAAATATAGCAATTAATAATAAAAAATAAAATGAAAAAAATAAGATGTTAAAAAAAAATATAAATTTATACTAAATATCATAAGATATCAAATTATAGTTACCTCTATCATTACATTTCATATTATATCGGTTAAAAATTCAGTAACAGAGTAAGATAATAATTTTTAATTCAATAACAGATATATAGATTATTCTCGGTTATCAATTTAAAACTTTAATAACTGAGTCAAATAATTTAATTATTAATATAATAATTTTATTATCTCGGTTTTTAAATTACAAATGTAATAACTGATAATATAATTAGTAAAATTCTTTATATTAGTCATTAAATAATGAAATACCATTATAGAGGTAACTCAATAATTTAAGTTTTTATAGTATTCTAAATTATTAAAGCATCTTCAAAATTTCCTTTTTTTTTTTTTTTTTTTTTTTTTTTTTTAAATCAGTAAAATATTTTAATTTTTAAACATTACATGGTAGTTAAAAAAAACTTGTAAATTTATGCCAATTCTGGTCCACCTAAACCTGTCAACACCTTCAGCCATCAAATTATTGATGGAAATATGAGAATAACAATAGGTATCCCAAACCAAAATTTTTTCATTTTTAAAAAATGTTAATGTAGGCATATAGATTTTTGCAAAACAAACAATGGTACCAATTTTATTTTGGTAGCTCAATTAACCACTGAGTTATGACTATTCAAATTTGCTGTCTTAAGTGCTATTGGTTTAGAAGCCAATTTTAACAGTGTATAACTGAAAATGCAGGCTTCAAACAAGTGAAAAAAAACCTTACAAATGTAATGTCATCATGTGGTAAATGAAAATTAATAATGGGAGCAATAATTATTAGATCAAACCAGACTAAACATTAGGCAAAATCCCCCGTGTGTAAAAAAAAAAAATGATGCAGAAGTTTAACTTTGACTGTTCAAATAAGTTTCATTTCAACAGCTAATGCATTGAATCTTAATGGTTTATAGCACATTAGAGATCAAGCTAACCTTTTCTTTAATAGTAAATCAATAAAAAAATCTCATTATTTGGACCATAGAAACACAGAAACACAATTTGATAATAGGTTAAAAAACGGTTTAAACAAAAAGTCAAATTATCCAATGGAGGTACAGACTTGAAACTTTGCAACTTTACTAATTTTTGGATGGGAAATTCAAAAAAATGTTTGTCTTCTCTGTAATATCAAAACTTTTTGTCATAGACACATTTTAACTTTGATGAAATTATGCAGTTTTCAACTTTATAAAAAAGGACAGACAACAGAATTTAGAAATTTGTTATATAAAAGTAATCCTAAGTCTTTTTTTTCCAAGCAAATTTTTATTGTAAAGCTTTAAACTTAAAAAATTAGAAATGAGTAAAAAAAAAATATCTAAACTGACAGAACAGATTTAGTGGTTCTCCTGCAGTTCCTCTCCCTTATCAGTGATTTGCAGTTGGAATTTTTTTATAGGCTTCTGCTATAGTAAACATATCTGGAACATTCAAAATCCTACCATCATTTGAAATTGGCATTAAAATCCCATCTATAAACAAATGTTGACTCTACCTGTGCAATATCATCTGACAAAGGCCATCAAAAATAATCATTTCTACCTTTGGTTGGAGCCAAAGATTTTATTACAGCACTGGATGGAGATATAACATCAATAACTTGGCCAATGTAAAAGTTGGTGCCATAGTATACAGCAACCCATTGTCCTTGGCGCTTGTAGGTGAAAATAATTTGAGATGGTTCTTCATCACAACTGCTGGAGTTATTTGAATGCACGGCAGATTCACTGAGTGACCTTTCCTTTTTTTGCTGCTTTAGGGGCAGAGCTGAATAGACTGGTTTTATTCTTGTCAAGTAATCAGAGAGATGCTTCCAGCTGAACTTTATTTCCACTGGTATTAATCTTGACACCTAAGACAACCTTGAGATAGCTCAGTTGGTCTTTTAGTGCTTCCAAGCCAATTCCTGAAACCAGTTTTATCCCTTTAATAGAATCCACAGAACCACCATGCTTGATAAGACATGACTCTTTGTTTCTCAGCAGCAGCTTGATACTTTTCCCTTTTGCTTTTCATTTTCTGCAATTCTTGGATGTGTCTTTGTCACAGATGTTTTGCATGTTTCCACAAGATGCTAAGAATGGATTGCTGCTCAGTTGATGATATTTCCTGCAGCCAAGCTGTTATCCAGTTGCACTTGAGCGTATTTGAGGTTGATCGATTGTGTAGTGATGCAGGTCATTTTGTTTACATGCTAAAATCTAAATCTCCAAAGGCAGGCCACCTGACAGATTTGTTAGAGGGCAGCTCTTCAAGGCAGCTCTTGTCTCCTGATCCACATCTCTTCCCAAAACACCATGCAACTGATGCTTAGTGACAATGAGGAACTTGTTGAATACCTTGTGCAAATACTCCTAGATAAGTTTTGGGTCTTTGAGACCACTACAGAGAGAGATGCATTATCTTCCTCAAAGAATTCACCACCAAATGCACCTCTACAGTCAGTCTAATAACAACTGAATTGTTGATCCAGCATTCCAAATTTAGAGCCATTAGCTTGATATATCGGAAGTTGATGTACTAGACAGTGCTATTAAGATTTGAGAAGGGTTTTTGTCTGATAATGAATGCAGTCTCTGTAATTTCAAATTAAAAGATATTGCACACTAAGATAAAATAATTTTATATGCTGTCTGTGGTGGAATATTGCCATAGCATTTTCAAATAGTGAATTAAACCTATTTGTACGATAACTCATAATTTCAGACTGGTGCACTTCCCTACTGCAGAATGTGAGCCATTCCATTCTGCAAGCACTTTTATCATCTCCATGGGGTCCGAGAACATCAGTTGTTTGAATCAGCCTTTCTGTAGCCAATTCTGAAGTCCAATTATTAAATTGGGTTGAAGAATCCCTTCCAAGAGCACTGCCAGGACTGCATATACTTGTCTTTTAGTGCAAACTCACAATAACTAGATAAGCCTAGTAAAAAAGGAAAAAGGACATTGCAGTAAAGAAAATGAGTGTGAGTCCTGTAAGGTAGTTGATCAGTAAGAACCAAATTCCTTGTAACACTGCATGACTGCTGCCTGGTCAGACATCAAACTGGTGATTACTCTCTTTTTCTCATCTGTAACTAGGCAGTAGACATCACTCAACTCATCAAGTAGATTGATGGTTATAAAGAGAAGTGTGTCAGAATCCTCTGAAGCAACCTCCATTAAGCACACTTAATGTCATCTGCTGACCCAGATTAACTCTTTTTGCCTACTAGTCTCATCTGTATAGAGTATGACACTGACTGCAGGATCTTTTCGATAGCATGAATCTTAGAGTTAAAATGAGATTCACCACTGATATTTGTGGATATTGAAGGAAGATCAGCTTTTCTTCAAAAAGGTTGTGGCCAACAATGACTTTAGAGCATTTTGATGCAAAAAATACCTGCTTCCTATAATGGTCATCCTGACATCATTAAAGCTCTTGGAAGGGTGAAGTCAAAAACTGCTGCAGTTCTTGAGACCTTCTTCCCTTTCTTTTATGTTTTAATTTATTCTCTTGTACCAGTTTTTTTTAATGTTGAGGATAAATGCTTTTCACTTGAATTGGACAACAGATTTATCCACATGGCCATCTTACTAAGCTTGAGATTATTCTTTAAGTAATGCTGGAGCTGAAGAACTACTTCATTGGTCAACTCATTTGCTCCTTTGGCAGCTAAAGAATCTGTAAATAAAAAATGTACAATTCTTGTATCATAAAAGAAACAGGAAAAGATTTTAATATTTTTTAAAAACAATGACAAATTTTGTGAAATAACATATTCTGTTTGATAAAAGTAAATGATACTTTACCTAAAAAACAAACGTATTTTAAAATTGTGTAAATTTCAATATTTTTTTTTTTATTATTTTTTTATTTGTGCACAAAAGTTCAACTAAAAAAAAGTATTCTTGCTTATTTTATTTTTTTATAAAATGTATCCAATATAATTAAAAAATAATTAAACTAAACGTTCAAGTTAATTCTTGATAGAACCTATAGGTCCCAAGAATTATTAAATAAAAACAAATTGATAAACATTTTTTTAAATTGTACATTTTTTTTTTTATTGACTAACAAAAGTTCAGCTAAAAAATATATTCCCCAATTTATTTTAAACAAAGTTCTTTATATAACTTTTAAATAAACAAAAAATATTAAAAGAATTTAAACTCTCCTAAAAACGGCAATATATCCATAGTGAAACAAGTGGTTTATTGACGTTTTTGTTCACTTGTGTCGTGCCGGCAGTTTGGTGATGTATGTTTACTTTGTCACTATGTCCAGAGTTGTAAATCTTGCCGTGAGGCATGCTCACTTTTATTTGGGGTGCTCCTTTAGTTATGAGCGTAATAATGACACCAACAAATTATTAAAGACAGGATATTTATCTACAAAAAGGTGTCATTTTCAAGATTTTTTTAAATTGAATTTCTTTGGTATAAAGTTTTCAATTTGGATTCTTTTTTTTTGTGAAAGACAACTTAAAACCCTACTTTAAGCACATCACATTGACAAGTGACCCTTTTTCTTTAAAATGGGACTTTTTATATATGTCGACACACAATATCTCCCACATGAAATTTGAAAAATGCCAACTTTTTTTTTTTTTCGCGTTAAAAAATAAAGTGTCTGTCACCAAAAATAGTGACCTAACTTGAAGTGGCCTGCAAAAAAAACTATTAACACAAGAGAAAGAATTGTATCTTTATAAAGAGATTAAATTCTGTTTATATCAAAATTTTATCAAAATAACTCCAAAAATAAACAAGATATCACAAGTTGAAATTCAAGGGAATTTCACTATATTTACCAGTTTTTGCATCCTAAACTTGGCTGCTTTGTGATACCTAACAAGACCTTGTGGTCAAGAAATGCCTGCCTAGAAAATTTTATGCTATAAGTAATATTTGTTTTAGAACAGGCAAATTTAACTTTAAATTTGCCAGTTTTACGATAACATTTCAAATCTTGTCTTGCTGGATTTTTGAAACTGAGAATTAAGTTTTGTTTACATTTCTTTAAAAAAAAATTAAAAATGGCTGTTTCGCTTGGTTCTTCTGAAGAATCGACTAAAAATCATTCAAATTTTTATTTGAAATACACCACAGTATTTTGTTTTCTGGAATTAGAATGATTTACATTCTCCAAAGAGTCCTGCTTTTAACTTTTATCTAAATATGAAGTGGGACACTTTAATTTCTCAATTTTATTAAGTGAGGCAGATAACAGATGTAAAAAAACAAAGTTCTGAGATTTTCTTTAAAAAAAAAAAAAATTTCTAAAATAATTTCATGTGTGAATAAGTACTGAAAGTTTCATTTAAATCCAAAAATTATTTGAGTTTTGTAAGAATTTACAAATCAATGTGGTCACTGAAAAATATACATACATTGGCCACTAATATCTATATTTCTGAAAGGATTAAATAATTTCATTGTAAATGTTTAATGTCAGTCAAAGCATTTTTTTTTTTAATTTAGAGCTCCTTTGTTCATAAAATTTTCATTAATATTTAACCTTTTAGCATTCAACCATCCCTGTAAATATCAGCTCTCAACTTGCTGTAACCTGCCCCATATATACTCTGCTTTAATATAACATTGTTGCAAATAATGCAGGAAGTCATACAAACTGAAAAATTCACTTAAAAAAAAAAAAAGTGAAACTTTGAGAGCCAATATTTAGAGAGCAGGTTTAAGCATGTTGAATTCTAGAGGGTTAAACACCTTGTTAGCAAAACTAACTTGAAATTGATCTCTTGTCCTTTAGTTGAATGACATTTATTACAAAACCTTTCAATTCTTTTGTAGCCTCCACGTGGAATCCTCATGTATGGTCCTCCTGGTACTGGTAAAACTCTGATTGCCAGAGCTGTTGCTAATGAAACTGGAGCTTTCTTTTTCTTGATCAATGGTAAGTTTTCAAAATTAAACAATAATATTTGGCAAAATAAATATTTTACTTTTAATGTTGGGTATTATATTTTAATGTTCTTGAGATTCAAGCTGTTCATTTGTTGGCATGTGCATTCAAGCTTTCAAAAAATATTAATCACCAGATTTCACAGATGACTAGAATAATTTAATCTATTTGGTTAGATATCTCAAACACGTGTCAGTTAAATTTTCTTTCATATCAGCTGCTGCTATTTTTTTTCTAAGGCTATTTTGATGAAATTAGTATGTAAACAGTTCAATGTTTTTTTTTTCTATAGATACAATTCTTTCTTGCATATGATTTTTTTTTTATTTCATATATTTTAATTATGTCACTATTTCAATGATGAACAGTCCTCTCTCTGTATTTTTGATATATTAGTTGTTCTCTTAGTTGTCTGTTTACACATCAAAATAATCCCATTAGAAAAAAAGGATGCTTATCAATCTGGTGATGAAATGCCAGAGAAATTCAACATTTGAAAAAATTAATGTAATTTACACTTCCCTGTAGAGCAATGTATCATCTTTTATAATTTTGTCTTTGAGAAGGAAAGTTTTCGAATGTTTAGGCTCGTCTGATCTTGGAATTATTGATTCCATTAACATTATCTATCTTTTACTTCAAGACTACCGATATGGCATTACATTTATGATTTTTAACTTGTTTGAAGCCTGCATCTTCTGTTACACACTGTTAAAATTGGCATTTTGTCAAAGTTTTTATGAGCTTTGGTCAAAACTTTATTAAGCTACCAAGATGAATTTAGTACTATTTTCTTTTTTAAATTTTTTTATGGTTGTCAAGATTTCTATGCTTGTGCTAAAGGTTTTTAGATATATTTAAAATAAAATTTACTTGAGATGCCTAATTTGACACTAACCTTTCCTAATTTGTGCAATACATTCATCTATTGATTAGCTTATAAGGTTTTAATTCTGTATGTTAGTATTCTGATTTTATTTCTATATATGATAATTCATTTTCTTTCATTATTTCTGAGATATATTTTAAAAAATTTTAGACTTGGATCTTCCTGGATTTTTTTTTTCCATTGACACTGCTATTATTTTAACTACCTTCATTTATCGATGTTTATTCTTTTAAAAAGTGATAATTGTAATAAAAGCTAAACATAAAAGTGAATTTATACAATTTCTTTGTTCTTGAAAATTGACAAGAAAAATAACACAATTCATATTGTTTATTGAAATGGTTGGCAAAACTAGCTAATTACCAATTGAGTCAAACTTTATAAAACTGTTAATAAGAATTTCCTTATAGATGGTTCACATATTTTAATAATTTAGTAAATGTTTGTAAATTTATTAATAAAAAATTTCAATTATTGCTTTATAAATTGGTAAATGATAAAAATTGCATTCCATTAGTTTTAATACAATTGAATTAGTTTTTAGAATGTTGTAACTATAAAATTATTCTTTTAAATAATGTAAAATAGTTTTTAATATTTTTGTAAATTCTCAAGAATAAAAATGTAAATTCACTATCATGTTCAAATTTTATTAAAATTCTAATCACTTTTTAAAACACGTTGCTGAAGATGAAAGGTAGTTAAAATAATAGTAGTGTCAATGTCTATTTACTTATAATTCCTTATCAACTCGACCAATGGACACCATATCAGATTTTGCTGAAATTTTAGAACGTTGTATTAACCTATGAGAAACTGAAAATAGAAAATTTTAGCTCCCTTAAACTTAGTTCAAGAGTTATGGCCTCTTGAAATTTGGGACAAGCAAATTTTGTTTGTTTTGCCACCAATAGATGGTAAACCATTAGCAAAAAAATAAACTTAATTGTAATCATTTGATGACTTGTGAGAAAGGATGAAACATTTATTTTATAAAAGTTGCATGATTTCTAGTTGAAAAATTTGCCCCATCCCCCAACACTTTAGATATTCTTTGAAAGTTTGGCAAATAATCGAGAGTTGAACTTATAGTTTGCTCACTTATAGATCCATTCCTTATTGTGTAATATCAGACAACATGAAACCTGAACAACTCTTTTGTTTTCTTACCATATTGTTAAAAATGATTCATGAGAAACTTGCACATATCAACCACATTTCTGGAGCAATTTCACAATACAAAAATTTCAAATCCCTCCTTTATATATATATATATATATATATATATATATATATATATTATATATATCTCATGAAATGGACAGTCTGACAATTATTTTTAAGACAATTTTATGTTTATACATTTTTATAGATACAAATATTTAATAAAATGCTCTGTTTATAATAAGCAGTATTAACATTTACCGGCCTGAATGTCTGAGAAATTTTCATAGAAAATATTCGTCCTCTGACAGGAATCAAACCTGTATCATATACGGAACCGTCATATAGCCTGACGTGCCTTAACCAATTGAGCCAGATAGGATCATTCAGTTAGCATGGTCGATTTTATTGTCTTTAAACTACAATCTTTCATGAATCTCTAGCGTACATTCATATCTGCTCAAAGCGTATCCAAATGTAAACAAATGATGTCATACATTATGAAATGGACAAAGTCCGACAATTATTTTTAAGACATTTTTATGTTTATACATTCTTTTTATAGATACAAATATTTATTGTAGTTTAAAAGCAGTAAAATCGACCTTGCTAACCGAATGATCCTCTGTGGCTCATTTGGTTAGGACATGTCAGGCTATATACAGTTCCATATAGGATACAGGTTCAATCTTCCTGTCAGAGGACGAATATTTTCTATGAAAATTTCTTGGATATTCAGGCCAGTAAATGTTATTAATACTGTTTATTATAAACAGAGCATTTACTTAAATATTTGAATTTACAAAAAGAATGTATAAACATAAAAATGTCTTAAAATATATAATCTATCTGAATCAAGTTGCTGCCTAAACCATGAACCAATATTGAAATTTTGCATACATGTTAAACTAACATCCAGTTTGTTACTAGGCTACTTGTTGTGTGTGTGTATATATATATATATATATATATATATATATATATATATATAAATAATGGAGCTGCTAGGGCCCCTAGATTGCAGCTTGGGTCTTGTGTGAAATGCTGTTTACATGTTTATCACTGTTTAAGCAAGGGGGATAATTGGTTTCGTAAAATTTTTAGAAACTAATAAGTGTTACAAAATAACTCTTAAGCTTAAAATTTCGGACTGATATGGATCTTTTTGTTCACTTTTTAAAAATTTAGGGGACATCTGAATGAATTGCAATTTATTTTCTAAAAATCTTTGTTTAACACTTGAATTCAGTATAATCTTTCTTTTGAATAGATCTCTGTGGTGTTTATATTGCAAAAATATAATTTGATGCAATTTCTTTAAATATAATTACACCTTAAGGCTTCTTTTCAAATTTTACTATGTGCATCATTAAATTTGCCAGGCTTGAATTTTTTCAACTTGTCCTATTATAGTGGTTGTTGTCTGTGGAATAACAACCTGATCAATTTGAATTGCAATGAAAAGCGAAACTGAAATCAAACCTTTTAATAAAGATATTTTTTTTTTTTAAAAAAAAACAAACCTTTCACTTCATTCATTCAATATTGAAATATAAGTGGCTGTTCTGAGTAAATCTGAGTTCCCAACCTGTAAGTGCACAAAAACTGAAGCAAACGTGTTCACTGGTGTATTATTTAATAAATGTTATCTCCCACTCTAGTATTCATGAAACTTTACATACATGTTAAACTAACATTCAGATTGTTACTAGGCTAATTGTCATAAAAATCTATAATTGGACCACTAAGGCCACTAGATAGCAAATTGCTGCCGTGTCTTGTGTATACGATTCACTGTATTTAGCATTCAATTTAATGAAATTGATTTGTTTCAGATTTCGCCATGTGCATCATTCAATTCAGCAGGTTTTAATTTATCAAATACAAAAATTGGCTCAATCCATTTGGTCATTTAAACATAATTTAACATTTAAATTGAGCTTATTGGCAAATAGAAATCCATAAAAAGGCATATCGGTTTGTGATGGTGGTGGTCGTCCTGTGGAATAACAATCTGTTTAAAGAACACTTTTTATGTGCTATATGAAAAAAAAAAATCTAGCTATGATGACCTTAAAAAAAATCAAACATTCTTAATTGGCATGAGCCACATACTCTGCCCTGTTAAGTCTTACTTTTAATTATGGCAGTTTAATTAGACAATATAAATTTAAATTGTGACAAGTGAAACTGTAAGAAACCCCCAATCATCAAGTGTTTATGATTTTAGCTGTACTATTTGTCAGTGTTGTAAATCTTTTGTTAATCTGTTATTTTATTTGTAAATCCATATATAAATCTATTTGCAGAGGCTATTGTGAAATTAATATACCAGTCTATTTGTACATCTATTGTAAATTTATTTTAACACTAGCCTTCCTAAGGGCTATATTCTCTGAAGGTGCAAAAGCCCTTTTCAGGGATACTTACTTTGAATTGTTACTTTCGGACAACCGATTTGCCTGTTATGTAAGTCGCTTTATGATTTTGGTATTCATGACATAATTTAGGATATGAGAACAGGAATTGGAGATAACATCCACTTTTCCGGGAATTACCAGATACATCAGCTAGTCTATCATAAAAGACTGTTGTCATGAAGCTCAGCTTCATTTCTTTGTAACTTCATGGCAAAGGTTCATGTGATGGAATATGAGCAATGATCAAAAGAGAAGCAACAATTGTTAGCATGAGAGCAGCAGTTGAAAATCAAATTGTCACCTGAAAGAATTATATATGTGGCCAAAGAAGCATATTAAAGGAATAAAATAAAAAAAAAAAAAAAAAATTTTATATTAGCAAAGATGGTAATAATCATGGAAAAAAAAAATGATTTAGCAAAGTGCTATTCAAATACCTGGATCACCAAGGCAATTTTTGCCTGCCTCTATTTTAGGCTAAACTAGGTATCTCCAATAATTTGCTAAAAAAGAGCATACCATGATGAAAAAAGGCCACAAACTTGATGAAAACAATTTTTTATTGTCTAAATGTTTATCAAGAGCAAAGACCAATGTATTTTTGAATTTTTTTTTTTTTTTTTTAGTTGACAAAATTGCCATAAAATCAGTGACGTCCATCATTTTTGAGACTTTTGGAAACAAACATTACTTTCTTAGCAGAAAAAATTTAGTTGGAAATAATAGAAGCCTGTCTTAACTTTAACTGTGTGAATTGATGGTTACATCAATTGCTTAAACTTATTACCTGAAAATTATACTAATTATGATGCTATTTTTTTTTCTTTGCTGGCAGGTCCTGAAGTAATGAGTAAATTGGCTGGTGAATCTGAAAGCAATCTAAGGAAAGCTTTTGAAGAAGCAGAGAAAAATGCTCCAGCCATCATCTTCATTGATGAAATTGATGCCATTGCACCTAAGCGAGAAAAAGTAAGCTGAATATTTTAAACTGTATTTTGTGAAGGGGAAAAATAACTGAATAAATTTTAATCTTCGAACAAATTTTTAATTGAAATACTAAAGTCTGAGTATCTTTCCTTTTTTAGACTCATGGAGAAGTTGAAAGACGCATTGTATCTCAGCTGTTAACCTTGATGGATGGTTTGAAACAGCGTTCCCATGTTGTTGTTATGGCAGCTACTAACCGCCCAAACAGTGTTGACCCTGCACTAAGACGTTTCGGTGAGTATTCTTGTTACAAATTTTATTTAATTTGTATATTAATCATTTCACCCCAAGCAAGGTGATAATGCTACTTAAAGGTAGGGTGTTAGAGGGAGTGAAAAAAATGAGAAGGACAATAAAGGAACAGTATTCAGGAAGATGGAAAATGGTGATTGATGCATTTAAATTTTTGAAGATTATAGGTGACAGGGGAGCAAGAAATTGGGAGTTCCATAGGTGAAGAAGGAAATTACTGGAAAGTAATTGAAACTCACCTGAAGCGAGCTGAATCTATAATGCTCCTCATGCCAATGACACTTCCACCGAGCTTCTCACGGCATATGATTTCACTGAATTTTGATGTGTTCCTCTCGAATTTTAAACTGGGGTCATCAGGAGAGAATGCACCGTTTGGGGGCCTTCCTCTCAACGGTTTCAGTTGCACACGCCCCCCTCACTGATGTGAGGCCCCATTATAACGATATACAAGTGTTGTAGATAAACTAGTTCAAATGTGTAACGGCGAAATTAAATTTATTTAAAATGAAAAAAAACGGCAAACCTTATGTTCTGAGAATGCAACGTGAACCTCATTACGCATTCACGATCAGACATGTCATGCCATCATGTTCGCTGAAACACTCCACGGAGTATTTCGTTTTTTCCATATCCACATAGAACTATTTTCTGTTACTTCTATTAGGCGTTTTATACTCTTGGCCCTATTACGCCCTTTGATTCCAATTTGGCCCAGAAATTTGTACAGAGTACCTGAAACGAAACCCCTTGCTCCAATTTCCACTGCTCTAACAATTGCATTATACCCCTCCTTTATTAGCTCTGACTTTAGATCTTCATATTTCTTCATATATGAGAAGTATGTGACTATTAGAAAGAAAGAGAGAAAAAATATAAAGGCCAAGGCATGTCTTCTAGCTACTAACCTCACTCCTCAAGAAAAGAGGAAAAGCAATGATAAAAGTAAGCATCTGTCAAAGATAAATAAATTCACTCATTGAATTTCTAATTGAAAGGAAAATAAATTATTTTACAGCAGTAAAATACATTTTAGTAGAATCTCAAAAAACTCATTAGTGTTTTTAAAATTTGAACAATTGAAGAAATGTTATTCACATGTTAATTTCAAAAGTAAAAAGTCCTTGTAATCTCTTCAGCAGTGAGTGAGTTCATGCTGAAAAAATATACTTTACATGTCCCATGTCAATGTGTATGTGTAAACTCCATTTTTCTAAATTGTTGCCAAAATTTTTTAATCAAATTTGACTCCAAAAAAAAAACAAAAACAAAAGTAAACTGGGAGGATGGTAGAATAGAAAATGTCTTTGAAAAAATAAGAATATTTTTAAAGTTTGCAGACTAATCTCGAGCTTTTGTAAGTGTGAAAAAATGATGAAATATATTATTTGGCTTTCAGTGCTTGGCTTTATATTAAAAATTCGCTCTGGCAACCCTGTCCCTTTTACTCTTATATTTTTGTCATATAAAATGTACAAGCATGTGAACTCTTAGACATTTGGCCAGATGTCATCAAATTTATGAACTTATTTCAAAAAAAAAAAAAAAAAAAAAAAATCTTCCCCAGACAAAGTCCTTGGCAAATGTAAATGACATTTTATTTCCAGTGAAACGGCTGATTTTTTGTGTTTGTTTGTTTTTGAAAGACACAAAACCGTTTCTGATAAAATATCAGGGATAAACTGTTGCTTCCTTTCCTTGCAGATGATCTTTTTAGCATGATCATGAAACTGTCAAGATTTGTAAAGGAAGAGTGATCTAAAAGATACATTTTCCAAACTGAATGAATTTGTAAGAATTTTGTCAAATCCAAACATGCATTAAGATGCTGCAAAGATTGATTGCAGATTTCTGACAGGGCGATGCAAAATTTATCCAAAAAAGGAAATGTCAGCAAAAGATCTGTTTGCATGCAGAATTGCAACGATGATCACCATCATTGAGAAACTTCTGGATACCTTCTTGTAAGGTCACTTGCATGACTGAACCCTGGATCCATTTGAGGGTGGGTGGAAATCTGCCACAGAAGACAGTCTTTAAAAGGTTGTCTTATATGATGGACAGAGAACAAGTCATTAAATCTGATTGTGATGACATCAGTCTGTACAAAATTTTGAGGAGGAAGAAGCTGCTGGAAATATAGCTTTTAAGAATTCCAGCAAGCATGAAAACACTTTGGTCACTTTGTTCTACTCTTTGTTGAGCAACAAAGAATATAAAAAACTAGAAAGTTGTTTGCAGATTGCTGGTAATCTCTTGTGGATGGAGGTTTCTTAATCAATAAGGAAATTTCTACTAATAATATGAAACACTTTGGTTACACAACACATTATCACAGACTATTTGGCCACAGTTGGAGATGCTGGGAATGTTCCCATGACTAAAGTTATTTACAGTGTTTCCAATAGCAGAATAGCATGCAGCCAATACCTTGAGGCTGAGAAGAAATTCTGGTAGAAGCAGAAAAAACAAATTTATGCTCATGGAAATTGAAGAACTGAAGACCAAAAAAACAACCTTGAAAGTTGCACATAGGATTTGCTCAAGTCAGATGACTCAAAACTTCACACTTATCACAGTCTCGTGCCATGCGAAGATCTGCAAAGAACAAATCCATAGAGATATCAAAATTGGAAGAGCTGAATGCTAAACTAGATGAATTGAAAAAAATGGTAACATCATTGTGTTATATGCATTGAAAGCCAAGAGTAGTAGAGGTAGCTAAAATGTATAGTCTTGTGAAACTTTCTCTTTGTAGTTCTGTTCATTAAAACCATTATACTTCACAGGAAATGTGCAGCAATCAAGAATTTTTGTGACAGTCACAAACTATGAGTAGTGTTAGATAACTGAAATGTGTAGCAGTAAGAATTAAAGTAATTCAAAATTTTCAAGTGTAGTAGAATGTTACACAAAATGTGTAATATAACCAAGTCTGCATTCACTTGTTTTTTTGTTTTTTTTTGCCTTCAACACTGATTTCTTCACTGCTTTCAACTGATCCACATGACCTGAATTATTGGAACCAACTGTAGCTTTTCTTTGAACATCTCATCAGTCAAATTATTAAAAGATAAATCACAAAGTTTGTATTTTGAAATTGATAATTCACTTCGTGTGTGCATCAGTTTCAGTCCTTGAAACTTAATATAGTCCTGGAATTTTTTGTACACAGATCTGTGGGAACCCTGGAATCACTTGTAGCAGAAGTGCACATATGCCTCTAGCCAGTGTTCATTTATGCCAGAATACTGAACATGCCTTGAGTGTTTTTGTGAGAGGGTCAACTGGCAAATTGAATGTCACTCCTTTGTGTTTATTGATGAAAATAGTTTCTGCCTTTATAATAGTTATTACTATATATGCAACATAGATCTAGAGCACAGCATTTTTTGGAATGTAATTGCCCATGATGCACAGATCCAATGTTGGCATGGTGTTACAAACATTTGCTTACCTTTAGAATTTGTATTCATCCAGAACCTTGTTCAACCTGTTGTATTACTATTCTTACAAGGTGGTGTGCTGTTCCAGCAGGATAATGTCTACACAACTGAACCTGTCCTGTAAAATGTTAAACAGCTTCTCTGGCTGGAATGGTTTGCCAGACCTCACACCCAACATGTAAAGGACATGATGGAGGACTCTTGTCACATTCAGTTAACCCACTTATGGATCTTGCTGTATTGTGTCAATATGTGCAAGGGGTGTGGAATAATGTATTACTGGATAGTATTTGCTATCTGTATGATTGTATGCATACAAGAGTAAAGTTCTTTAATGCCCAAGAAAGATATACAGTGAATTAATGTGGTTTGAGTACTAAACATCCTCTTTTAGAAACTGCATGTATTTTCTGTAACTGACAATTTACTGTAATCTAGCTATATTGTACATATAATCTCGACTAAATTGAAACCTATTCAAGGTTTTGCAATTTTCCATCTAAACATTGAAATATCTTAATGCTTATCTTTTGATTATCAGAAGTTTTCCTCCCTTGTGCATAGTTGCAATAGCATATAAACTAATTGATTTCATTAAAATTTTCTAGGATCAATGCATGTATTTCATCCCTTCATAGTGATTAAACAGTCATTAAACATAGTGTCATTTTGTAAAATATGTGTGGTACTTATTGGAAAGTGCTCAATATCAGTGATAAAACTAACATATTCAGTTGTATGGATATGAGTTTGTAACCTTGGGTTTTATGCTTTTGCAATCATCAGATAATATTTACATGTAAGGTATTTTTTTTTTTTTTTTTTTTGTACAGGTCGTTTTGACAAAGAGGTAGATATCAATGTTCCAGATGCTACTGGACGTCTGGAGATCCTGCGAATTCACACAAAAAATATGAAGTTAGCCAACGATGTTGACCTGGAACAGGTAAATTACAAGGAAAATAATATGAAATTTGATTGGATTTAAATAGTTATAGTTAAATTCTCATTTGACTTTGACGTTATCGAATTTTAAAATTTTTTCCAGATTGCACAAGAGACTCATGGCCATGTGGGTGCTGATTTAGCTTCTCTCTGCTCTGAAGCTGCTCTCCAACAAATCAGAGGTAAAATGGATTTGATTGATTTGGATGATGAAACTATTGATGCTGGTGTCCTCGACTCATTGGCAGTAACAATGGAAGATTTTAGAGTAAGTTTCAAGTATGTCTAAATGGACGTTGTCCATGGAATGCAATTGTGAAATTATCCTTAAAAGTGATAACTTTTGGTCATTTTCAGATGAAAAGTTTAGAAATTTTAAATTTTTCTTTAAGAATGGAGATAAATTACATTTGTTTTGAATAATTTTTGTTATCTTTTGAGAAAAGATAAAATGAAAGGCATTTCTTATATATTTCAAATATTGCAGATGTTCTGTTGGAATTCAGTATCTTTGTCTTTAAATATTTAAAATGTTCAGTTTTAAGATTTAAAATTTTTTCCTGTTATATATTTTTTTTTTTTTTTTCTGTCTTTATTATGAGTCTGAATTTCATTTTTCTTAACACAATTTCAGGTACAAAGCATAAAATTTGTACCGTTTACATTTAACTTTTTGGGGTAACTATTTAAAAGGGCTATGTATATTTTGAATTTATCTTTGCAGTCATGTCTTGTGTCAATTCTCAGAACAGTAAAAACTTAGGTTCAATTTTAACAATTTTCATTTGAATTGGACTAACTTTATTGGTTATTTACTTTGTTTTTAGTGGGCTCTTGGTAAGAGCAATCCAAGTGCTCTAAGAGAAACTTCTGTAGAAGTTCCATCTGTTTCCTGGGATGATATTGGTGGATTGGAGCATGTTAAGCGAGAGCTGCAAGAACTTGTACAGGTATTTAGATTATTTTCTCTTTTTTGAAAGTAAAATTAATTCTGAACCTCCTTGTTGGTTACAATTGCATAATAATGGCTGATTTTTTTTTCTAGTACCCAGTGGAGCATCCTGATAAATTTGTCAAGTTTGGCCTAACTCCATCTAAAGGAGTTCTATTTTATGGACCACCTGGTTGTGGTAAAACACTGCTGGCAAAGGCTATTGCAAATGAGTGTCAAGCCAACTTTATTTCCATCAAAGGTCCTGAGCTACTTACCATGTGGTTTGGTGAGTCAGAGGCTAATGTGCGTGATATCTTTGACAAGGTAAGGAGAAATATTTTTGTAATGGCTTTGGTCTTACTACTACCATTTTTTAATATTTTTTAAGTATAAATTGTCTTTTTTGCATGTTAAAACCATCTATATGTATATATTTTGTGTAGAAATCTTGGGAGTTTTTTTTTTTTTTTTTTTTTCTTTTCTAATTTAGAAGAAACTTATTTGTTTCATTTTGAAATTGAAAGAATTTATATTTCTTGTAAAATTGCTTATACCTGTAAAAAAAATTTTTGTCAAGAATAATGATCTATTTAAATCTTTCTTTTCACTCTTGCAGGCTCGCTCGGCAGCCCCTTGCATTTTGTTCTTTGATGAATTGGATTCAATTGCTAAATCTCGTGGCGGCAATATTGGTGATGGAGGTAAGCAAGTTTTATTAGGTTTTGATCAGTTACCTCCCTTGATCTGTTTAAAAAGAAAAATAACAAAAATATTAAATGAATAATGCCCCTTACTTTGCAAACTCTTCAAGAGCTCATATTACCATATCGAATAAGTTTTATTGTTTCAATTTATGCCTTCAGATAAATTATATGAAAAAAGTTATATAACTATTATATCTGTAGCTTGACTAACTTAGTGTGCAGCCTCGGTATAGTTAATGACATAAGTGCCAAAATGGGTGAAGGTGAACCTTGAAAGTTTTTAACTCAAATTTAAGTCCTCATTTTATAGAAATCAGTAATTTTATTTACATTGTTTATTTTTTAAATCTTTTTAAAATCCTTTTTCATAAATAGTACAATACTAATATTGATGTATCAGTTATGTAATTTTACTTTTTCTCAGGAGATTGAATATTTTGTGCGTGAAATTAATCTAGTGGTTTGAGGTTTTTCTTAAAAGTAAAACATTTCTATTAATTATTCATTACTCATTCATTAATTATTATTTTTTAGGTGAGCTAATCTTATTGTTATATTACTTGAACACAAATATGAAATTGCTAAGTGACAATACAAAATTCTTTTTAGTAGATGCTATTCGTTAGAAAATAAGCATGAAAAAATTGGCAATGTACTTTGTATAATAAGATTTATTTTTCACTCCTTACAATGTCTGAATTTCAATACAACTTAGACAGAAAAGATTAGATTCAGTAATTTTATTTTTATTAGTAAAGTTGATATTTACATTGAACAAAAGAGAATTAGCCTATTTTTTAAAAAAAAATATTTAAACTGTTTCTTTTTACACATTTTAGGTGGTGCTTCTGATCGTGTTATAAACCAGTTGCTTACAGAAATGGATGGTATGAATGCCAAGAAGAATGTATTTATCATAGGCGCTACCAACAGGTTAGACCTATACTTCTATTTTCATTTTAATGGATTTTTCCCTCCTTTTAATATAGTCTTTTAATTAGTGATCCTATTAAATTTTTACATCTTGTTTGATAAGCTTTAAAAAAAAAAAGAAAAGTTTTTTTGAGTTTTTAAATTCTTAAAAATTTTAAAGCAAATAGGAAATTTCTAATGTGCACTAGAATTAATACAAGGGTGGACTGAAAAGTTCATAGGCTGTATGAATGAGGCTGATGCCGTGAAATCTTGCATGCATTCAACTCTTAATAATTGCATTATTTCTTTCCAGGTAAAATGACATCTAACTTCAAAGAATACTTCAAAAGTAACAAGTAGTGACTTCTCTGAAAATAGACACAATTTGTCATTGTGGTGTTATGTAGCTGCAGAAAAAAAGATGAAAGGTCTTTATTTATCAGGATAATGCTCAAGCATACAATTTTCTTGTTTCAATAGTTCCGGTGTGTGACTGGCTTTGAACTGGTTGATCACCCTCCCTATTGTCTTGATTGGCTATCATCTGTTACCCAACTTGAAAAAAACACTAGGCTGGGAACCAGTATCAGTGTTAATGTTGACTTTTTTTGACCAGCAGAATGAACAGTCAGATGTAGGTTTACCTGGAGAGAAACAATGCAGTTACTAATAAAAAAAATTTGAAATAAATAAAAGTGAAATTTCATGGCTCTAGCATCACTCCTTCATAGTCAGCCTATGAACTTTTCAGCTCACCTGGATATGTAAATGTTTGAACCTTTATTACTTGTATGAAGAATAGATTCTGTCAAGAAGCCTATAATTAAATATCAGTTGTTAAAGTTGCATTGTGAAATTATTACTCAGATTATCTGTAAATGTTCAACATTTTCTTTTATTTTTAGACCAGACATTATTGATACTGCCATATTGCGACCTGGGCGTCTTGACCAGTTGATATATATTCCATTGCCTGATGAAAAGTCTAGGGTTCAGATTTTGAAAGCTACTCTTAGAAAATCTCCAGTAGCCAAGGTAGTTATTTTGGCTTTTGTCTTTCCTTGAATTTTCATTTTTTTTTTTTTTTTTTTTTTTTTTTTCATATTTTTCTCAATATTTATTGATTTCTCTTTTGTCTTGTAGGATGTTGATGTTGATTTTCTAGCTAAGAAGACAAATGGTTACAGTGGAGCAGATTTGACCGAGATTTGTCAGCGTGCTTGCAAGTTAGCTATTAGACAATCCATTGAAGCTGAAATCAGATTAGAGAAGGAACGTAACCAGAACCCTGATAATGACATGGTAGGTATAACTACTGTTTCTCAAGTAGCAACATTTACCTTTCAAAGATTATCTTTTCTGCTTATAAATTAGTATATTTAGTTAGTGCTATATATATATATATATATATAATGCAATTCTCAGGTAGCCTACAGGTCACTATTATTTCATGGTCCATGTACTGCAAATATCAGTTTGCTATCATTAAAATGTTAGAAAACTTATTTATTCTTGGCATAATTACTGCATAAGATAACATGTGTGCAATTATCTGCAAAATCTGTTCATTTAAAAAAAAAAAAAATGAAAAAAATATTTGTTTGATATTAGGAAGTGGAAGATGATGTTGATCCGGTGCCTGAGATTCGCAGGGACCATTTTGAAGAAGCAATGAAATTTGCTCGTCGTTCAGTGAATGAAAATGATGTCAGGAAGTATGAAATGTTTGGAAAAACATTGCAACAGAGCAGAGGATTTGGAAATGATTTCAGGTAAGTTCATTAAGTAACTTTTTTTTTCCTACAAACATCACATTCTTTCCTTAATAGTGAGATGTAACTTTAATTAGCTACAAATTCTTGATTTTTAAGTAAGCTTTGTCATAAGTGTTTTTAAAAGAAATTAAACTTGAATTTTTATTGCTTGTGTTCTGTATCATAACTGATTATACACTTTTAAGATAATTTATTAATAACTTGAGGAATTTTGTCAACTCTTCTTCATGTACTGTGTTAAGATTTTCTAGAATTAATTTTTCCTCAAGAAAAAAAAAAATTAATTTTTTTAGTACTGAATTAATCATTAAATCTGAAAAGCACTTCTTTGTTTGTATTTTTGTATCACAATTACTTCTTTGTTATGCAGGTTCCCAGGCCCAACAGGTGGATCGGCTGGTGGTCCAAGTCAACCATCTGGTTCTAGTAGCAATAATGCAAATGCATTTGCTGATGACACTGAGGAGGATCTCTATGATTAGAGTGCTGCCACAAGACTAAATATATTCCTTAATCATCCTAATTACTTATTAATGTCAACCACCTATGACAAATTTGCAGTTGAATTTGATGGTATCACATTCCCTTCCTCTTTAAGCAATCTCCCATTTCACTAGAGTTACTACTGTAGAGCTACTTTGCTGCCTCACTTAAATATTGGCTATCATATCACTTCAGTGCTACGTCATGTTCATTACAACAGGGACTACCTAGTACCACATGTTCAGGAAAAGAAAAAAAACCTTTCATACTTTTTTTTTTTTTTTTTTTTTTTTTTTAAATTTGACTTTTTTTTTTATATAAACATATGCTTTCATTTCAAGTTATTATATTGGAACTTTCTTTCACTCAAACCCCTCTTTATTCTTTCTTCTATGATAGAAGAAACTTTGAAAAACGAGGATAAAAAGCACAAAACTGAATTCAATTATACAACTTAAAATGCCAGAAACAAAGTAAATTGAGGAAAAAAAAAAAGCAAAAAAAAAAAAATAAAGCTAAAGTCTAAAGACTATTCTCAATGCAGAACTGTTAACTGCAATGTTATTGTGAGGACCTCAGCTCCCACAGGATTTGGTTGCGTTTAAATAATAAAATGTGTAAAAATGACATCCAAACTCTCCACTTTGTGTTGTTGTATGAAGATATTTAAAAAAAAAAAAAATACATTTTTAGCCTGCTCATGTTGAATCAGACCTGAAATAAAAAGGTTTTTAAAAAATCTGGAACTTAAATTTCTAGTTCTTGCAAAACTGAAGTCAAAATTGCTACTATTCTTATTAATTGAATATTGAAGATAAATCTGCAATCAGCTGGATTTAGAATTTTGTTTGCATTCATCACAAATAGTCTCATCCACTTCAATGGCAGAAATTGAAATTCTTGTATTTGCTATTATTGGTTCAGAGCAATTAGAATCAATCTCTGAATTTCAGATGAAGTTGTCATTATTTACATGTGGACTATTGTCCTCGTTGTTATCAATGTTAGTCATTGTGCCCGCTGCCCTTCATCAGGTGTATATCGATCCAGATAACCTACAAGGAATTTCAAGCTGAACCCGTCATTTTATCTATGGTGTTATATTCTCATCCCACTGCTCATGTCTAGGAATATCTTGTCTAGTTCTTATTTTAGTATTGCTCGGTTATTGCTCATACCATTTCCATTGTGTCCAAATAAACTGCCCACCAAGGAATTAAACTCACAATTACTATGTTCAATCCTTTTGTTGGGCAGAGTACTTCTCAATAAACTGTAACATTGGGTTATACTCCTTCATTACTTACCACTTGTATTATTTAAGTTCTTACAATTTACTTACTTACAAAAGAAAAAAAAAATCAAGCTCATGCTATTTGTTAAACAGAATTTGACTTAAATTGCCCTGTTTATTGGATAATTTTAATATTCACTCCCATCTCACAGCCTCATTGTGCAAAATTTATCTGAGCATTACAACTAAAATAAAATGGAAGAAATTTTGTTCAAAAGATTACCAATTCAAAATTGACAAATTTAAAATTGATAAGATATCAGTTCTATGGTGCCACTGTGTCTTCCTTTTGAATAAATAATTGCCATTAAATTTACAACTTGCAAGAATAGATTTTAATACCATGATGTGGACTTAAAACTGTAGTCATTCAATCGTACTGTCAGCAATGTGGTTTAGTTTGTGCATGATTGACTTCAAAAAATTTGAATAAAGAGTTGGAGCTTTTATAACCTCAGGAAGTTTTGCTTGGCAAAAGATTACAATAGTAATTGAATTTAAACTAGAGCCATCCAATCTTGTGACCTGATGATCATGACATCTTGCCAAAGTAGAAATATATAACAAGCTTGAACACATGGTTTTAATTCTCAGTTAAAATACCTTGCACTCTAATTGGTAGTTTAAAATATAAGCTGTTAAATTGTTGCAGTGAAATAAAATGGGTGTCAATTTTGGCAGCTTTGATTTATGGGGAATGTGCATTTGTACCAATTAAATTTCTATATTGAAACGTCATTTACTCATATTTTCTTTGTGAGGAATTTTATGCATAATTCTTTAAATATTCTTTCTCAATTTGCCTTCAATTATTTTCTCTTAATTATTGGCTTGTATGTTTTTCTTTCATTTACTCGCTATCAATTACTATGCATTATAGAGGTTGCTTGATAGCAGTGCAAGACTACCAAGAACAGGAACTGCTGAAACACATTATCTCCAATCTGTGCTCAAATCTACTGTTTGGTCTCTGTATATGTTAAGCAAGTGTTAATGAATATAATTTTTTTTTTACAAAGGAAGAAATACTTGCACACATCTGCTTTGTATGCTATTTTGTTAGACTGCTACTTGTAACAAGGCAGAAAGAAAACCTGGGTTCAACCTCTACTACCAGTGCTATATCCTCAATTTGCTTGTGATATAGGCCTACATAAGTCATTAATTTTGGAGCAACCACATATTTCAAAAGTGTGTGAAGAACTTTATTTTTTTTATTTTTATTTTTTTTCATTTGCTGCAAGATTTGACTATTTTGTCCAGGAAGCTTAACCTGGCAGAAGATTACACTAGTTGGAATTCTTTGTGTGGAGGTACTAAAATTTTAATTTTAAAAAAATATTTCCCTGGGTTTTGAGATCACACCAAAATATTTATATCAGTCAAGTATATAAAGTTCTGTATTCCATAAAGTGTAAAAGTAAAGTAAGTTGTTTGGCTTGAGGCGTAAGCAATTTTTTGCTCTTTGTTGTTAGATGAGTTGCTGTTATCATTGTATTTATTGGGATTTACCAAATAACCTGTTTGTTTTAGGTTTTTAGTCCTCTTATAATTCAGATAACAAATCTTAATATGAAATTTTCATGTATGTATATATAAAGAATGTTACAGAGGCAGAAAATGACCCAAGTTTGAATTCCTGGAATTGTTCTTTATGAAGTGTCAATAGGTATGGAATTCTTTTAGAATAGAACCACCACATAGTTGTTAGATTCTCTCCTGCCCTCTGTTATATATTAATAACATCTAAATGACAGAAAACTACAAAGCATTTACAGAGTCACCAAGGAGCATATTTTGTCAAAATAACAGAAAATTGGTCTTGTAGACCATTACTACAGAGTTGTGATTTCAATTCTCATTGTGTGTCCTTTACTTTTGGCTCTGTTGCAAACTAAGAAATCCTTAGTAAATAAATAACTATAGTAAGTTACCAAATACTTGGTTTAAAGGTGAATAATTTGCTTGCTTGCTTGTATATTTTTTTTTTTTTTTTTTTTTTTTTCGAGTAATATTTGTTCTAGAATTATATATACTTTTGTGGAGTAATATTGCAGATAACAAAAACTCTGGTTTTAAACAGCCAGTCAGTGATCTCTCTCTCTCTCTATATATATATATATATATATATATATATATATATAAAAATGTGAGAGAGAATCAAGGAAAAAGATGGATGACTTCATTATTATCATTACATTTATTGTCTTTGTGATGATGCATGGTCATTTCCCCATGAATTCTTCAGATAGTCATTTTTATTTCTGAGAGCACAAGGGTTGAAAAGAGGTTTAATAATTCATAGAATAACAATTTACCAAAATTTATCCTTCATGCAAAAAGGACAGTTTTTCTCTTGACTCAACTATTCTAATGAAATTGTTGTCAATTCTCAAAGAAAAACAATGCATAAATCCAGTTTAATATATTTTGGGTTTTATTAAAATTCTAAAAACATTTTTTAAAACAGTAAAAACAGCTGAAAGAGTATGAGTAATAGTGGTATCAAAAAAATTTTTTTTTTTTAATAACCCAATTCTTAGCGGTTAAAAATAATTTCTTAGCATTCCAAGGACTTTCTGAAGCAGACAGAAAATAAGTTTGAAATGTGTAGAACAATCCTTTGTGCTATATAAAAATTATTTGAATATTGATATCTTAGTCTACTGCAAGGTCATAAGTGTAGGATATTGAATGAAAATTGCACACCCAACAATAATTGTTTGAGTGACCAACTTGTTAGTCATAGTTTCTTGGTGAAGTGAAAAAAAAAAAAAAAAAATCAGAAAAATATTGATCTTATGCCATGTCACATGGCAGCTACTTATGATTGTGACATTTACAAAGGGCTCTCTTTTGTGTTCATGACTACATTTACTGCTCCATTATGAAATCTGTCATTACATCCTGATATATCAAATTGATTATCCTACACACAAGTTGTTTCAAACCAAGAGATCTCGATGTAATCAGCTTACTGAAACTGACAGTTACAAAGTCTTAAGCCATGAATGTTAACATCAAGAGGTTGGAAATTCCAATTTTAGAATTGAACTCTTCAAAATTAATAAAAGTTCATCTTATTGTTACTTTTTCTTGCAATACTCTGTTTTTATTTATTATATACATTCTATATTGATTCAAGCAACACTATGGGAAATATTTCTTATTTCAAGTATATTGGTGCATTTATTCAGTCAAGCAAAAAGGACATGTAAATCAGAATTGGGTAAGCCTGGAGTGCTCTTAACAAAATGGAAAGGCTATGGAAGTCAAATCTCCAAAACCCATCACAAAATAAGTTTTGAGCCACAGTGAAAAGTGTGTTGCTATGTGCCATGTCCCTTCAGGATGTTCCTGTCCTTTGTAGCTCTTAGCAAATTTCATCTTTCCTATTTCTCTTCTGTCCCTCTTGACTTTAATATGTCCTGTGAGTGTCAAATTTTCCTAGCTCTCATTATATGCTCTTGAAATTTCAACTGTTTCTGGTGAGTATAAAATAAGTACCCCCCCCCTATTTTCTCTAAAATTTTGTCATTGCTCACATTTTCAGTCCATTGTATCCTCAGAATCCTTCTGTAGAATCTCATTTCTGTTGCTTCATCTGTGATGAGATTGTTTAGCATTCACTGCTATATGGGAGGACTGATATTCACTACTCTTCTTTTTTCTAATGAAATTTTCTGGCTTCTTAATGTGCTTAGT